TCTTTTTCGCTTCGTCTTCGCTTTCGTGCTCAACACCTCCCTGTCTTGCGGGCCTTCGTCGGAGCTCCACGTCAAGCTCGGGCGTACTGCTTGCCCGCAAATCGGCACCTGCCTCCATCTCCCTCTTCCTACGCTGGGCTGTTGCACCTTCCTCCTCGTCGGAGTCGACGTCGTCCCGCACGATAACGCTCCCACTTCCCTCATCTTCTTCATCGCTCGTAGAGGAATCGGTGCCGTCTGTCTCCTCATCGTATTCGGGTGTGTCCTTCACGATGAAGGTCATGCGCCTCATCTTCTTCTCCAGTCGTAGCTGCTCCTCTTGTGTCCCCTGTTTGTCCATGTTGCGTGTTGTGTTGGCCAGAAAGTTAGTTCATATTTATTCGTCGTCGTCCGCGGTTGGTTTAAACCGTGCACCAATAGCGAACGGTGCGGCAACAACGGCGGCAAATCGGGGACGAAAAAGATATTCCGCTGCCGGGAATCGAACCCGGGGCGCATGGGTGAGAACCATAAATGTTACCGACTACACCACAGCGGATGCTTCAATAAAATTGGTTTTGCAACTTGTTTTCAGAATAAATAAATACCAGAGGTGATCAAGCTTGGAGTATTTGCTTTCCAATGGTCACAGTCGCGCGTCTTGCCCTTCTCGAGTGCAGGCCCAACGCACCAACCAATCACCAGTCTTGATCACCATGGTGTCGGTCAGCTCGTGACCCTTGCCCTCCTCCACAACCACTTCACACAACCCGCCCAGATCGGTCGTCGCTGCCATCGCATGTTGCAGGCGCTCAATGAAGGGTTGCGAGCAGTGGTAGGGCACCAACCGATCGTCAGCCCCGCACAGCACCAGCACCTTTCGTCCCTTGAGCCGCTGCACCGCCGGCTCGCCCATGCCACCCGCATCCAACTGCCTCAGGGCTCGCTTCAGACCTTCGGGCAGATACCTTTCCTCCTCCTCTTCACGGGCCTCCGCCGCGTCATCATGGTCGCCGGTGTTCTTCCTCGCGAGCATGCCCTGCACTCGGTTGCGCATGAGGCGGAGATAGTCGCAGCAGCCGATGATCGGCACGCCCACGGTGATACGCGGGTCGTGCAGCAGGGCGAGCCACGTCGAGTGGCCGCCCAGGCTGGCCCACAGCTCGATCCGCAGCGCGGCGGGCAGGTAGGCCGGCAGGAGCGAGATCAGAAGCGACACGTCCTGTGCCGTGCCGTACTGGATCGAGAACATGTCCTGCGCGTGTGTCTCGTTTCCTGCTCGCCACGACTCGCTACACAGAACACGGACCAATGAGTGCGTGTGCGTGTGCGATGATGGTGCGTGCGGTGGTGCGGGTGTGTGCGGGCAGCGGTGCGGGGCGAAAACGAACTTGGCGAGGTCACGGACGCGGCGGTGGCCGTGGTTGCGGTGGTCGAGGGTGACCACGACCAAGTTCCGGTGCTGCCTTGTATCGTCGACACCAGCACATCGTTGCACCAGTGCGGCTGCGGTGGAGTCAAGCGCCTCGCTTTCGCCCAAGCGACCGTGCAGGAGGAACGCCACCGCGAGGGGGCGCCCCTCCGCTGCAAGCGCTGCAAGACTTGCCGCAGGCGCGGTTGTGGTTTTGGAGGCCACAAAGTGCAAATGTACGGGCATGCCCGCAACGTGCGGCAGCGTCACCTTGTGCACCGCCAATGCCTGCTGTGCCGTGGCCGCGTCCATGTTGTGCCAACAAACAGTACGGCATGCTCGCCCAGGCTTTTTTCGTATGGCCGCTCAAGCTTATTTTTTCTGAAAACACGTTGCAAAACCAATTTTTATTGAAGCATCCGCTGTGGTGTAGTCGGTAACATTTATGGTTCTCACCCATGCGCCCCGGGTTCGATTCCCGGCAGCGGAATATCTCTTTTATCACCGCGGACTGTTTCCTCCTCTTCTCTTTGCTTGTCTTTTTTAACTCGCGATGGTCTCGCGTGTTTTGGCCTTCTTGTAATAAAGAAACAAGATGAGCGTATGTGAGCTCGACAAGGATGTGCAGTATGCATTGGGCATAGACGAAGCAGGACGAGGACCCGTACTTGGTAACTCCCCTTAATAACAAGGCGCCAAGATTTGTGGCTCATTTGCTACTCGCCCCAGGACCCATGGTCTATGCCTGCGCCTACTGCCCGCTGTCCGAGAAGGAGAACATACGCACCCGTGACGGCTTTCAGGGTACGCTGCCGCTTTTGCTCGGAGCTGCGGGGTGCGTGCGGGTCCTGAAGTGAGTTGGGGTCCACAACGCGGGGGTGGCGGTGATGGCAGACTCCAAGCAGCTCTCGGAGCATCAGCGCGAGTCCATGTTCGAGAGGATCGTGGGCGCCCCCGACGTCGGCTTCGAGGCCTGCATCCTCTCGGCCGAGGACCTCTCCAACAAAATGCTGCGCGCGTACGCTCCTCTCCTTTTTTCTCCCTTCTTCTTCTCATCGTAAGCGCCACACGACACACACGACACAGGTCCAAGTACAACCTGAACCAGATTTCGCATGACACGGCGGCGGAGCTGATCGCGCGAGCCCTGACCAAGGGCGTGCCGCTGAAGGAGGTGTACGTCGACACCGTCGGCGACCCGGGCCGGTACCAGGAGAACCTGTCCCGCAAGTTCCCGCGGCTGGCCATCACCGTGTCGAAGAAGGCCGACTCCCTCTTTCCGATCGTCAGCGCAGCCAGTATCGTAGCCAAGGTCCGTACCCGTTTCGTGTGGTGCGGTTGTGTGTGTGTGTGTGTGTGTGGTGTGCCGAGTCGTGTTGACAGTGTGTGCGGTGCGTAGGTGATCAGGGATCAGTGCCTGCGAACGTGGAAGTTCAAGGAGAAGGGGGTGGAGTTCTCGCGCGAGTTCGGATCGGGCTACCCGGCGGACCCCTTCACCAAGCAGTGGCTCGAGGGCAGCCTGGACAAGCTCTTCGGCTACCCCACCCTCATCCGCTTCAGCTGGGCCACCACCGACAACATGCTCGAGGACCACGACGCACACGCCGTCGCTTGGTACCGCCGCTCCTCTGCCAGCATTCTGTGGTTATGATGATGGTGAAGATGATGATGCTGATGCTGATGGTGGCGGTGGTGGTTGCGCGGGGCAGGGAGGCGGACGTGAACGATGATGGCAAGGGCAAGAAGGGTAAGAAGCAGATCCAACGTACGGCGGCGCTGGTGCGGCGGGCCACCTTCATGACGCCCAAGTCCACACGCTGGAACTACTACGCCAAGCGAGGAATGCAGACCGCCACCACCTCTGACTTCTGAAGATGGAGTGGTGGAAGTTTCATTTTTGTTTATTACCGCACACGCACTCGCTCCTCAAGAGCTGCCTAGTCACTCTTCTTCTTTTTGGAGGAGGTGGCGGTGGACTTGGCGGTCGCTGCCTGGGCGTCATCACTTGCGGGACCCTTTCGCTTGAGCCCTGCAGCGCGAGCCGGAGCCTTGGTTGTCGGCGCGCTTGTCGCCGCCGCGGCGTTTGGTTGCGTCGTCTTCGTCTTCTTCTGCAGCCATGCCATGACGCATCACACACGGACCAAGTGTCAGTCGCCTTTTTGGATTCTAGCTTCTAGCACGAGAGGAGGTGAAAGCCTACCTTTGGCGGGGGTGGGGGCATGTCGTCCTGCTTCTTCAGGTTGCTGCTCGCAATGCGGAAGTCCCGCGTAGTGCTGTGACAGTGGTGCGCGGGAAGCGTCCGTCAGAATTGCAACCAACCACCTTTTCTTCTCTGGTGGTGCGAGAGGGTGAGCGTGTGGTGGAGGTAGCCAGGCGCGCACCTGCGACGGAACCCCTCCACGAGGTTGACCTTGAACTTCTTGCCGTAGCGAATCAACACGCTCTGCAGAGGGAAGCAACAATCATCGTCGAGTTAGCGCGAGGCAACGTTGGCTGTGCAGCTTACAAAAAAAAAGAGGGTGTACTTCAAATTGCTCGATCAGGAAGATGAGGTTGGGCAGGAGGGTGGCGAGTCGCTTGAGCTTGGCCTTGGTCAGCCTCTCCGCCTTGTCGACATGCTCATCTGTGTGGAGACGACGAACGAGTGGTGAGAACGAATGGTGAACTCTTCTTCGCCGACAAGGCAGGTACGTCCCAACACGGCACGCGTACCTTCCATGTCCTGGGGCTTCTCGATGTAGGCGAGGAGTTCGTAGATGGTGGGCGTGAAGTCCCTGCCGCTGTGCTTGACCAGCTCCTGGAACGTCTCTGACGGACGCAGCTGCAATTGCATGGCCTGCGCGCATGACCACACACATAATGTTCAACCAACCAACCAACCAACCAACCAGGCCTCGGCCGAGGCCTGGTGTGCGGTGGTCTGTTGACGTACCGTCTTGGAGAGCTGCGACAGGATCTTGTAGAGGTGGACGAGCGCCTTGACCAGTCCCTCAGCGCACAGGAGCGGAATGGCCGACGTCACGATGGACGAGAGCACCTTCAGCAGCAACTGTTGGTGGTGCGTACGTACAAATAAACAAAAGAAACGCACCGCGCGGGTTATGAATGAAGCAGTGGCCCGTATTGGGAGCAGGGCGCGGTACGCACGTGAAGTTGTTTGCAGCACTCGCTCATCAGCAGCCTGGCTCGCGCGGTCAGCCCTGCGGTCTTGTCTTCGCCCTCATCCTCGCTCTCGTCGTACTGCTGATCCTGCTCCTTGTCTGCCCATGTGTCGTGTGCGATGGTGCGCGTGGTGCGAGGCCAATGAGATATCAGCGCATGTGGTTACCGGACAAGGTGGCGCTTCTCCGCAGTCTGTACGTACCTTCGAGATACATGCTCTTGGAGATGACCAGCACTTGCTCGACCTCGTCCAGCGAGCTGTCGATGGTGCTGGTGATGAGCGGCAGGATCTGCGAAACCGTGGCCTTGTTGATGAGCGGGTAGCGGCGAGCCTGGAGTTTGTTTTGTGGCCACAAATGGTGAGTTCAGACCTGATCTATGCTCCGCAAGTCGAATCGGCCATATTGGGCCACCAAGATCGCACCTGATTAGACGGATCCTCTTCTGTGACATGGCCCAGCACATGCACGTCGACCGCCAACGCATTCAACTGAACGAGACGAACATTTGGGAAAGGTGGGTGTTAGTTTGATGATTGGTGACGAAGCGGGGTGGGTGGGTGGGTGGGTGAGTATAGATACGATGTTCATCTTGGGCAGGGACCGTGCGATCTTGAGGAAGAGGGAGACCATCCACTTGGCGGCGGCCGCGTTTTCGATTGCGGTTTCGCCGCAGGCGATGTTCATCAGCTTGGCATGCACCGGCACAAGCTCCTGTGCGCGGACGAGGGATGATGTGTTGAGGGAGTGTGTGTGTGTCATGGGTCGTGTTGTGTTGCGTCGTGTGCGGTGCCGCAATCGATTGCGATGACGAGTGGAGAACACGTGTACCTTGACCGACCCGGGCGATCGCAGGAACTCGAAGAGCAGTTCGATGATGTCCTTGAACACCTCGGCCTCCTTGTACCGCTTCGACTTGGCGAGCTGCAGCATGATGGCCTCGAAGCGAACGAGGGTGTTGTGAATGATGGCCTCGGCCTCGAGCGGAGGTTGGTCCTCCTCCGCCTCCGGCACCTCGGCCTCCACGTCCTGATAGTTGGCCAGGTGGGGCAGAAGCGACTCCTTCAAGAGCAAGGCCACCTTCCTGGGTCCCCACTGCACAGGCCCATGGCGTCAGTCTAGGTAGCGTCGAACGCCAACGACTCGTAGTGGACGACGGCGCACCTGGGTCACGAGGAAGCGTAGGCTCTGTTCGAGACACTCCAGCTGGACTTGCGCGATCTTCTTGTTCTGTGGTCGAGAAAAGAAGAGCCGTGAGGTTGTGTTGGAGGTAGGTCGAACAGCAAAAGTGAATGAAGGCGTAGGTCACCTTGCTGTCGGCGGAGAGGTGCGCAGACACGAACTCCTGAAGTATGTACGAACTCGCCTGTGGTGTGTGACGTGGAAAATAAATAAAATAATCAGATAAAAATGGTTGGTTCGTTGCTGCCTCGCCAGGCGAGAAGAAGGTGCGTTCTCGGCGTACCTCAGAGCAGAACTTGGCCCGCGACCGAAGCAAACTACTGCGTCCATCTCCCAACTCCAAGCCCACGCCCTCTTGCACCTCCTCATTCCACTGCAACGGGCGAGGGTGAGTGATCATGAAAAACAAGACGAAGGGAAGACGAAGGCTGTAAAGAGGACTCTCGGTACCGAGTTGAGCATGTTGTGGGCGGCAGTGAAGAAGTAGGACTGGAACGCTTGGTTGGCGCGAATGAGCCGTTGCACGGCGTTGGCGTCGCCTGGAGCAAAGAGCCTCGGTGAGACGTCAAGTCCCCAATCTGGCCTCCATTGATCGATTTTGCCCATGGAGGCTGCAGTACCGCTTTGGGACGAGTCCTCCACTTCTTCGACCAGAAGCTTGATCAAGCCCAGCACACAGTTCAGCTCAAGGAAGGCGCCCTGCATTGCGAGCGTGAGAGGCCACTCAGACAAAGGGCCTACCATTGATGACGTGGTTAGGGAGGAGGACGGAATGTACGTACCTCGACGAGCTTGTGCCGCTTGGGGGCTCCTGCGCCTGGGCGGCCACGTCCCCGGGCGGCCTTCTTGGGCTTCGCTTCTGCCTCATCGCCGACTTCGTCGAGGTCCTTCTCCTTCCCCTTGCCTTTGCCCTTCTGGCTGCCGCTGCTGCCGCTGGCGACGATGGTGTCTTTGGCCTTGTCCTTCGCTCCGCCCTTTGCACCGCCCTTGGCCTTCTTCGCAGTGGCGTCCTTGACCACCATCTGGAGCGTCTCGTAGTGCTGCAGCACACCACAAAGAAACCAACCATCAACCAACACCAGACGTGGAGCGGTTGAGCCGAGGAGTTTGAAGTCTTGGAACAGCACGTACGGTGAACAGGTCGATGGCCACTTTTAGCGAGTCGGCTGAAGGCGGTTCAGGCATTTCTCGCATCACGGAGTAGTCGATAAGCACCTAGCTCGCATGCGGCAGGACAGAGTGAGTTTGTTATCAAACAAAGTTAATTGAGGAAAAAGCAAGGTTGGAAGGCTCTTCTTCACCTCGAACGTCGAGAGAAGGACCAAAGCCGCTTCCTGGTGGAATCTGCCCTCGCAGGACGTGTCGGAGTAGTCGGCCGACTTGTCGAGGCTGAAGTCTTCCAACTGTGAACCACGGCGCCACAAACTCGACGTGAACCACAATTCACTTGACGACGCGTATTACCAAAGGTGCACATCACGTACCTCGGTCTTGAGCAGTTTCTCGACCAGGGAGTCCAGTGACGCTTGCAGTTCCTCGAAGACCGGGAGTGGGTCGCTCGGCGTATGATCTGACCGGAGGGTGAGACAGAGGTGCATCAACAGCTCATGCGAATTGCACGCAGCAGGCAAAACGCGGTACCAGGGCTGGACTGGCGTTTCACCATCGCCAATTTGTAGTCCATGACACACCGCTGGATGGCGTTGATCAGGTTGCCCAGGGGCTCCAGCTGCAGGTGAAGAGTGTTCAAGCGCTCAAGTAAGACCAAAGCCAACAAGAGCGCAACAAAAGAAGTGATTGTGGTACCCGTTTCACGGTGGCAGCTGAGGTTTGCGAGACCTCGACGCACTTGTCCAGCTTGATGGGCGCCGATACCGAGGGATCGGTCTCGAGGAAGTGCATGAAGTGCTGCAAGAGCAGTTCCAGTATGGCCTCCTTTACCGCGAGCGAGTGGCTGTGGGCGCAGCATCGCAGCTGAGTAAGAACAACCCTTCTACGATGTCGGGTGATGCAGCTCGCCTCGGTACCTTGACTTGAATACTTCCGTCAACGCGTCGTAGAGGCGAGCTCGGATTTCCCACTGCTGGCTCAGGCACCGGCGTAGGAAACCGATCATCTCCAGAGAGAACAGTTCGGCTGGTTCAAAGAGACGAGTTTGCTCAGTACCTGGCCGAGCCTTCAATGCAAGGCCTACACTCTAGCTAGATGGTACCTTTCTGGGCTTCGTGTTTGTTTTTCTTGCGTGCACAGCTCTTCAGCAGGTGCTCGAAGCCGGTCACAGCCGTGAGCCGAGACTCCAGCTCCCTGAAAGAGAAAGAGTTAGCATCGAGTGACAGGGCGATGGCCTTCGAGTGAGAGAGAACCGCGAGAACATGGCCTTGCGCAAAACGAGGATGATGTGGTCTTGGAAGGACGGATTGATTGCCATGATGGGCTGCAGAGGGGTGAACAGACCGACATGAGTATGGGCAGCGAAGTACTGCAGTTGGCTATGAATGAGGGTACCTCGACGGCGGCGAGCAGGGCTCGGGTGACGGTGGGCGGCACGTAGGACAAATAGTCGAAGACCTCCTTGATGCGCGGGAGGTACTCTCCACCGCTGCCGAGCAGCAGATCTTGACATTCGCGAGAGATGGAAGACAGCAATATGATGTACTGCAACACATTGCTGTTCTCGCCGCTGATCATCTGTTGCAAGTGTTGTCAAGAGTCGTTCATTTCGGAAACATGCGTGAATCAAGTTAACCAGTGTGCGCGTCGTACCACACGAGACAGAATCTGTTCGAGAATCTCATTCCTTACGCTCTCGTGGACCTTGAAGATCTCCAGAAGGATTCGTACGCCGAGCCGAAGAAGCATCCTGTTGTCGTCGGAAAAGGAACGACGTCGGTGAACCAGCGCAAAGGCAGGACACAAAGAAGGCACACGTACTTGTTGGGCGTCGAAACGGAAATGATGGATGACGACGCGGTGGGGGTTGACGTGGTGCCGGCCGCCGAAGCGGTGGACGCAGCGGAGGCAGAGGCGACAGAAGAAGCTGGCGACGAGGCCGACACCGAATCCATCAGCATGACCCCCAGCTGCACGAGCGACGGGGTGATGTGGTCCCAGCCATACGCCGAATGCTTGATGGTCGCCAGAATCGCAGCGTCCAAGTTGACTGCAACAGTCCACACATGTGGCCGTTGATATCACAATTGTATAAAATGCGTCCATCATGGAGGGTACACGTACTGGTGGGTGGCATGTGCTGTCGCATCTTCTCCATCCAGTGCGACTTGGATTTCTTTTGCTGTTCCTTGTAGTAGGTCTTATATCCGAGATAAAGACTGTCAGTCCGTAACTGTTGTGCTGGGCCAAGGGAGACCGATGGGGACCAGTACCTGAATGGCCGTCTTGATGGTGTCGAGGGCCTGATCGGCGAATCGTTGAATGCGGGCAACCGACAAGAGCAGAGCCACGGTGAACGAGGTCAAAGGAAAATTCTCGCTCTTGAACACTTTCAAGAATGCGCGACCCAGTTCCTGCAGGAGCACCCCGAACCCTCAATTAGTACCAGCAGGCTAAAAAGAAAGTGGCCGCCTGGTACCTGGTCTTGCTTGATCGCAAACTGAAGGTGCAGGAGGACGGTGCCCTCGATGTGCCGAAGCAACTGCTCATCGCCCGATGCTGCTGTGCGTTTGTCCGGGCTCCTACAGAGTGTAGCCATCAAGAGTGGTTGAGCGATAGCCAAACGGCTAAGTCAGCAACTTGGGGGCGGCACACGCACTCTTCGTCATACTTCCTGCCTTCGCTTTCCAGATGGTTGGCGATACCGCGCAACAGACTCGCCTTGACGTCAGTAGCGCCTTTGGTAGCCAGCAGGATAAGCTGATAGATCAAAGAGGGCAGCTCGTTGAGGTCGATCCCCTTGAAGAAGCTGTGTTGCGCGTGGGGTGGTTTGGTTAGCCGTTAACAGTTTTCTTGCAACACAAATTGGCAGTTACCTGATGATCTTGTGAATGACTCGCTGCATTTCGTCGTGCGAAAGTGTGATCTCTCTCAGTGTGGCGGTTATCTGTCTGACCAGCTCTTCAGACCAGTCAAGGTCGCACAATCTAACCCAGTATACCACCAACGTTAGTTCCTGAAGGCCGTCGATTCCAACGGCGCACGTGTTCGCACCTAGCAATGAGGTGACTCTTGTATTGCGGACCAGTCTTGTTGGTGTGCTCATCGACTCCCACTGCGGACAAGCGCTCAATCGCTGCGAGAGTCTTCGGCAAGAAGTCCAGAAACCGCCCCTCGGCCGATCGAGCTGGCAAGGCGCAAGGCAAGCATCCACAACAGCGTCAGCCAACACTCTGACTAATGACACAGGAAGCTGCATACCCTTTTCGACTCCCCAAAGAATCACTTCGGCTAGATCAATGAAATCTTCGTCTGCAACCGCATCCATCTATATAACAAGAGCCACGTGTGATTAGCGCAAAGGTGATGCCATCAACAAGAGGGTGTGTGAGGCCAGGTACCTCGGGTAGTAGAGCATTGACGGCTTCCTCGGCCTTCTTGTTCGTAAGCCGGCCCTTGATGATGAGCCACATGACGCGGTGGAGAACAGCCCCTCGAATCTGCTTTCCTTTGTCGGTGTACGAGGGGAGGCCCTGAAAGATGGCCCTCAGCAACTGGACCAAGTCGCCCTCCATCGCAGTTCGTTTGTTGATATACCCCAGCAGCTCGCGTTCGGACACCTGAATGAACGCAGGTGGTGCAGAGAGACATTCATCCAAGGGTCAATCTCGAGTGGTTCGCTCTTGTTCAGCGAGACACGCACCGACTGGATCTTGTTGGCCAAACGGACGAGGCCTTGATTGTCGGCCGACGGCGCAGATAGGCCGCTCACCTGCACGGTGCCAGCTTGGGTAAGGCTGCAAAGAAGGCGTAAGTTCAACTGTAGTTCCCAGGTCGTCGTACCTGGGATTGGGTCATGTGGGGCTGCATCTTGTTCTCCCATATCTCCACGATTTCATCGTCCAAGCTACCCTCGGCGGCTTCATCGGGGTCTTCTTGAAGGACTGGAAGTAGCGCAGAAAGCAAGGCATGCCTTAGGGTGGGATGAGCGGCTCGCGACATGGGGGAGTGAGAAACGTACTCTGCACACAGCGCCTGGCGGGTGCTGCCAGCTTCTTTGGTTCCTCCTCACGCTGCTCGTCTTCGCTCATCACTTCGTTCTCCTCCTCTTCTCCTTTTTCCTCATCTTCTTCTTGAGGACGTCTGCGCTCGGGTGAGGATCTCTCAGATTTTTGACACTTGCAGCAGCGCAGCAAGAGCACGTGTACCTTCGCTTCGTGCCAAGCGTTTTGATGGGCACGGCCTTCGGTCCCGCCCCTTTGCTGGCGCTCTTACCGGCAGTCGATTTCCTGAATTTCGCACCAAATCTTGGGTTAGAACGTGCTGGCAGATGCAACCAAGTATTGCCACGAACTTTGCTGAGACTTTGGTCCTTGCCATCTCGTGTTGCCTCTGGCAAACGTTGAATTGCTTCAATGCGTTCTTCAGGTGCTGAATATTTTCTTCTAATCTTTTTGTTTTTTGTTTTATTGTTTTATTTTTATTTTGAACGGAGCTTGGTGATGGTGACGACGAAGCTGAAGTCTTCGAGCGGGTTGAAGTGCCGGAGGTCGATCACTTGATCAAACAGTAGACAGCACGACTGGCTATCGTCGCCATCGCCTCCCTCAACTGTACTGCTTCGCTGCGGGAACAGTTCGCCAATGTTGACAGGCGCTACATCGCACCTGTAGTCGCCTCTTTCCTCCACCTTCGCCTTCACCCGGTCCAAGCCCTAAAGAGCAAGAAGAAGAAGAACGTCGTGGGTGAGCCAACACATTGCCTTTATGCACTGCTCGAAACGAGGGAGTGGCGTACCTCTCTCTCCTGGGCACAGATCTGGTAGAACACGCCCTCGGGCAGCAGGTAGGCATCGAGCACTTTCATGAGCAGGTCGACGTGCGCGGACAGGTAGATTACCTCCGATCCCACAGCCACATCGACGGGATCAAACTGGCGAACAACGTGGAAGGTCAGCCGGGTGAATGTGTGCCGCTGTCATCAATCAGGCAGAGCGACGTACCACTCTGCTTGCGGCGTCGGCTTCACCCCACTCCAAGTGGTGCACTTGGGCGGTTGCTGTGATGTCCTTGCACAAGAGCGGACCCTTACGGGCAAGTGCAGCGTTGATGCTCACATTGTGCCGCAGATTGTCCAGGACCTTACATTGAAAAGGCAATGTGGTGGATGAGGGGGAGCACAACTTGTGATGTGCCGTAGCTATGAAGTGCTGTGGTGCACGCACCAGGGGCAGTCGATCAGTGAGGTACAAGCGCGAGGCGAAGTGAGCACAGACGAGGCCAACCAGACCGCAGCCGGCTCCCAGCTCCATCACCGTCTTGTCCTGGAAGAGGGACGAGTTACCATAGACCCACCTGCACCGAGAAGTCATGACTTGATGAGCCCAATCATCTTGAAGGCGAGTGAGCCGAGGAAGCATCACCTGGCCAAGACGACTGCAGCCTCGCACAGAGCGCATCCAGAGAAATGGTAGAGCAGTGACGTTGGGTCCTTGAGAGACGAGGGCGAGCTTTTGGCTTTTGCACCAACATGCAGCTCACGCACCCTTACTTCGTCGCCCCCTCCGAATTTAACTGTGACCTCCCTGAATTGGCATTCATCTGACCACGCCAGAGTTCAGGTTAGATGAATCACTAAGCTGCGCCAAAGCGAGCGTACCATCCATCTCTTCAACTCCTCTGTTGCGATTCGGCTCCGATCGAGAAAGGCGGGAAAATCAAGTATTTAATCACAAGAAATGGATCCACCGGCAGCACAGGAGGAGAAAGAGGAAGAAAGGAGAGCTGCCGCCATACTTGAACTCTTCTCGTCCCCGCGCAGTGGCCCACAGTCGGACGACGTCTTGAAGCTGCGAGTGCTCCTCTTCAAATCGCCGGAATGCGCGAATGAGTTGCCCGATTTGGACGAGCATGCAAGGAAGGCACTCCAATTGCTGACCGATCTGCGACTGGGCAAGAGCGGCAACACCCTCATCCACGTTGCCGCCAGAAACGGACGGGCCGATCTGCTTCCCCCACTCCGGTCCGCGCTTGCCGCGGCGGCCTCCACGTCTGGCCGGTCTGCTCCTGCTGACGCAAAGAAGTCTTTGCCGCTCGCCGATGTACCCAACGCCAACGGAGACACTCGTACGTGGCCCACGTTCTACCACCAAGCTCGACTGACTCCATGCTAGCGTACCCGCCTCTATCTTATGGGATGTGAATGCTCACTCTCTGCACATGCGTGCAGCGCTGATGTTCGGAGCTATGGGCGGCTTTGCGGATGTGGTCGCGTGCCTGCTGGCCTACGGAGTCTCTGCGACCAGCGCCAATCGGGCAGGTGCGCTGCTCTGTGCCCTCTTCGCCGTCAAGGTATATAATGGGGGTACCATCTCAAATGCACTGACGCGCTTGCTTTTTCTTGAACAGGGATGACGGCGCTGATGTGTGCCTGCTGCGCGGGTGCGGACCAGGGCGACGTGTGCCATCTGATCCTTAAGGGCCTGAACGACGCAAGCCACGTGAATGCGCAGGACATCAACGGCAATACCGGTACACCTACACGATCGCTGGGCCAGATCCACACACACACACGCACGCACGCACGCGCGCACGCGCGCACGCACACACGCTGCTGCTGCTGCTGCTTGACTCACAATCTGTTGTCAGCACTTCACTTTGCTGCAAAGGCGGGCCATGCACGGTGCGTCAGCGCACTTCTCTCGAGGGGCGCAGAAATTAACCAAAGGAACCGCATGAACAAGGTGCGTGCACACGCCTCCGCACCGTACACACGCAGCGCACCACACAACACCGCTCAGCATGTTCTTCATTTTTTTTTCTCTCTCACTATCGCACTGTCATCAGACGCCATTGCAGGCTGCGCAAGATGCGGGCATCGTGGCCAGAGAATGCGTAGCAGCCCTGCAGCGCAAATGGGAAGAGCTGGAGGCGGCCGCTGCCAACACGGAGAAGGGCCTCGTCAAGGGTGAGCGCTGCGCTTCGACATTGAGTTGAACGTGCATCGGAGTAACAGCTGTGCGTGTCGTGCGTGGGCACACGCAACAGAGCGAAAAGGGGCCAAACGACGACTCAGACAGAAGCAAAAGAAGGAGGCCACCAAGCCGCAGAAGAAGGAACAACCCAGCGAAACGGAGAGTGGCACAGTGGCGCACGAGGCCGGACCAAGCAGTGAAGAGAAGAAGCCACCCCACAAGGATGCATTCCCAGCCCCAGCGTCGACGTAACAAAGGCCAGGGAGGTGATCCAAGGGGAGAACGAGCGGCAGAACAAGAGAGTCGGAGGCGCCACGCCGACGGCAGAGGCCGAGCAGCAACAGCAGCAGCAGAGATCGAAGGACGCAGCCCCGCAGCCAACGCCGGCGGAAAAACCAGAGGTGACGCGTCGCAGGCAAACAACGGGGCAGGCCCCAGAACAGAAAGGCCCAAGCGTGACCATGTCGCCCGACACCGCGCGATCGTCCGCCGTAGCAGACCAGCAACAACAGCAAAATCGAGAGCAGAGCGACCAACAGCGATCGGCAACGACGGCAGTACCCAACGTCAACGTCAACGTCAACCGCAAAGCGCCTTTCCGCTATGCCGACGCTGTGGCAGCGGCCGGGAAGCGACCTCCGCCGCCGGGCATGCCGGCTCCGTCGGCCAGCCGCGCCGGCCCGCTCCCGCCAAAGCCGGGCTCGAGCCCCGCGACTGCTGCGGCGGCGAAGGCCCCGAGTGCGCAGAAGAGGGCCGAAAACACGGCGAGTCGCCGGGTCCGGCGGCCGCGGCGTCGAAGGAGCTCGCCCAGCTGAGGCGCATGTACGAGCGCGAGAAGCGGGAGAAGCAGGAGCTCGCGGCGTCGCTGGAGATCATGCGCAAGGAGAAGGCCCTGCTCGAGGTCGAGAAGCAGCTGCTGGCGCGCGAGCGCGACATGGCCGTGGAGCGCGAACGGGCCATGGACCGACAGATGCGCGAGCGACACCCACAGGCCGAGAGTCTCGCCCTCACCCACGCCCACCTTCTCGGCGTACCATCCCTCAACTTTTCTTCCTGCGCGCGTGTCGTGTCGTGTCGTGGTTCGTGTCGTGTGTTGTGTCGTGTCGCCGCGTGTGTCGTGTTTTGTTGATGAACTAACTCGCGAGCCTTTTGGTCACGCACACACAGAGCGAGTACGAAGACCTGTCGATGGAACAGATCTCGGCGCTGCAGCAGATCCACTCCCACGCGCTGGCCGACCTGCGCACGGCCATGGAGCGGCTCATGGTGCGGCAGGAGCAGGTCCTCCTCGAAGAGCGCAACGCCCTGCAGCGCGAGCTCGCCAGCCTGCGCACTACCGCCAAGACTGCAAAAAAGAATTCTTGACCTCCTCCGTGTGTGATATTTATTTTAAAGGGCAAAAATTACAATAGTACACTGTTAGTGGTGTGGCGCTGGGGTCACACTCTGCTCAACCTGTTGAAGATCCAGCTATTCCACGCGCTGGTCGGGATCATGTCCCTCATGGCGTCGTCGTACAAGGTCGTGATACTCTGGGTGCATTGAATGCCCTTTAAGAAAAAGAAAAAGAAAAGTGACAATGTTAGGCGTCACGTGTCGTGCGTGGTGTGTGTGTGGTTGAGGAAAAGCAAACCTGCATGGAGAGGTTGAGTTTGATGCCGACGGCGAGCGAGTAGAAGAGCTCTTGGCGCAGCTCTTCCATTTTCTCGTGCAGGATGGCGTTCTCCACCTCCCCGTCGCTGTGGTGGCCCGGGACCTTGCCCTTGCCCCGGCCTCCGGAGCCGCCGCCGAGGTCCGTCAGCATGTGGATCTCTTCGTCCTTGAGCCGCAGCGCCAGCTTCAGCTCGTTCACCTCGTCCTCCTGCTTGCGCTTGCGCTCCGCCTCGTCCCGCGAGCCATGTTGCGAAGACTTGAGCAATTCCTGCGAGACCATGCGCAAGTCAACACCACACCACACCACGGCGAACACGGCACACACGACACACACGACACACACGGCACACACCGCACGCGCACGACACAGACAATAGAATACCTCGAATCGGTCGGCGAGGGCGTTCTTCTGTTCGGTGGAGTCGGCGAGGCGAATGTGGAGCTGCTCGATGGCCTCGTCCTTGGCGCGCAGGCGCTGCTCGAGGTCGGCCTCGATCTCGACCAGCTTTTGGCTGAGCGCGCGCAGCATGTCGTCCTTGGACTGGGCCTTGGCCTTGGCCCGCGACAGCGCAGCCTCGAGCTCCTCGCGCAGCTTCTTGGCGCTCTTCGACTCGCCCTTGGGCACCTGCAGCTCTTCCTTCTCCCGCTTCAGGGCCTCCACCTCCCGCTCGCGCTCGTCCAGGCCGGCCTGCAGGGTCTTCACCCGGGCCTCGAGCTCCTCGTTCACCCGCTCGAGCTGTCGCACCCGCTCGTCCTTGGCCTCGAGCGCCGCCGCGCTCTGTCGCACCTCCTCGCCCAGCCGCGCCAGCTCGGCGCCCGCCTCCTCCTCCTCCTTGCGCTTCTTCTGGTCCTGCAGGGCGTCGCGCATGGAGTGCATCTCCTGCGACTTCTTGAGCAGGACCTTCTCCATTTCGTTGAGCTTGCCCTGGACCTCGGTCTTGAGGGCCTTCTTCTGCTTCGTGGCCACGGCGAGCTTGGCCCGCACCTCGCCCAGCTCGCGCTCGCGGTCCTGCAGCTCCTGCTCCCGGTCGCGCAGCTGGCGCTCTACGTCGCGGCCCTCGATGTCGAGCTTCTGCGCGCGCTGGGCCGCCTCGTCGTTGGCGCCCTGCTTGGCCTGGGCTTCGAGCTCGCGCAGCCACCCGTTGCGCTGCTTGATCTTGGACTTCTTGTCGGCCACCCGCCGGCGCAGTTCATCCGTGCGTGCCTCGAATTCCTTGGCCCTGAGCTGCCACGCCTCTTCGCTCGCCTCGGCCTTGCGCTCGGCTTCGTCGGCGACCCGGCGCAGCGCGGCGGAGTGGGCGCGCTCGAGCTCGTCGACCTGCCGCCGGGCCTCGTCGTCCTTGGCCTGGGCCAGCTCGGCCAGCTTCTCCTCGTACTGGGCCTTGGTGCGCTCGGTCTCGCGCCTGCGCTCCTCGATCTCGCTCTCGAACATCTCCCGCAGGTGGTCGCGCTCGTCGGTGCTGGTGCTGGTGGTCTGCTGGCTCTTGACGTAGTCGAGCATGTCGGCGTCCTTCTTGGCCAGCCGGCTCCGCAACTCGTCGATCTCGCGCTCGCGCTCGGCAACCTTGTCGAGCAGCCGCTCCTCGGCGCGGCTCAGCGCGAGCCTGGACGCCTCTTCGTTCTTTTTGGCTTCGTTTTCGCTCTCCTCTCTCTGCTTCTTCTCGGACTCGAGGTCCTTCTTGGCCCTGTTGAGTTCGCGCAGGCGCTCGAGGCTCTCGGCCGTCTTCTGGTCCAGCTCGGACTGCTTGGCTTGCGCATCGGCCTCTTGCTTCTTCAACCGCTCCTGCAGGGCGGCCAGCTCCTTCTCCAGCTCCTTGTCTCGCTCCGCCCATTGGATGGACTGCAGCGTGTGTCGTTTCTTGATGTCTTCCAACTTTTCCTGCATTTACACACACGACACACAGACGACACACGACACACACACACACACACACACACACACACACACACCGGTGAGCACCATGCAGGCGACTACTCGGATTAGCTGGACGACATGACAGCGTACTTGCAGCGACGTGACCTGTTGGTCGTGGGCCGCCATCATGCCCTGGGTGTCGAGCATGGCCTCCTGGTACTGGAGATACTGATTGAGGCCATTCACCTGCGTACAACCAACCAACCAACCAAGCAAGCAAACGGGTGCAACCGGTAGAGAGCAGGTCAGGCTTGTTGATATCTCTGACCGAGTACCGCGGGAGCGCGTACCCAATAATTGCAGTCCTTTTCGGTGGAGGCGATGAACTCGTAGATGCGCTTGGGCGTGATGATTTCGAACGGAACGGAGGCATCGCGGCGCACCGACGGCCTGCTCATGGCCATGAGTGTATGTGTGTGAGGAGGGGGGACAATCAAGACGCTATGATGGATCAAGCCCAGGGCTGCGTCGGTTGCTGATGTGTGAAGTGTCGTACCTGCCGCCAGGACTGGCGAGGCCGTTCTCATCAGTCCGCCTGAAGATGTGCGAGTAACGGTTAGGCCGCGTGTGTGAGGGTGCGATGGTGGCGCGTGTCGTGCGGTCATGCGTGTCATGCGGTCATGCGTGTTGTGCGGTGAATGTGAACATTCAGTGATCATGAACTGGACCAACCTGACAGTGCTGATCTCAATACAATCGATGAACCCCAGCGCGTTCTTCTCGCCCTGCAACGACAGATCCGCCCGAGGTCAGATCAAAGCCCAGAAGGGCAGGAGTGCGCCTACACTGGCGTATTTCTTTCCGTACCCTCTCATGGAAGTAGAAGATCTTGGAGCCGTTCTGTTCGAACCATCGCTTCTTGTAGCTGCGCACCAGACCTTTCTCGCCCTTCTTCTGCAGATAGCCGTAGAGCTGGGTGCGTGACCGCCACCGTCACAACACACGAAACAAAGGGGCGTGAGTGTAGTTCGCGGGCGCACAGTGCGTCGGCGCAAGGCCTCTGCACACGTGCGTGGCGTACCTCCTGCGGCTTGTGCCATCCATTAAAATGGAAAAAAATAGAATATTGCCAAGTTAAAAAAAATTAAAATCAAACAAGAATTGCAAAGCTGCAGCTCGATTGTTAAATCGAAAATTAATATTAAGGGACACGATGAGGGTATAAATCCGATTCCGTTGACGGTGCCATGATTATTCGAAGAGGAGAGGCTCAGTACGTACAGGAAGAGGAGCAGTGGCGACCACGTTCTCCATCTAATGCCAATCCGCCACTATTGGGGCCTCGGATTTGATATTTTCTCATTTCATTTCTTTTTGTTTTCAATGTACCAGTTAGCGCCAAGAATGCGAGGTACGTGCAGTGAACGACACATTTTGCTTCTGGAAGGTTCGAGAAGACGCAGGCAGCAACACAAAACCCTTCGTCTTCCCGCCCACCCACCACCACAACACAACCTTTGGTACACCGCCCCAACAACCCTACTTTTTATTATTTATTATTTATTATTTTTTATTATTATTATTATTATTATTATTATTATTCCAACCAACACAACCCACCCCTCCGCCACCGCACCGCTTTGTAGCGAGCTGCAGCGTTAGGCCCCAATAAAGGCTTGAATCTGCAAAGCAAGTCCTTTGGCTCTCTGGTCAACAAAGCACTACTTGGCAGTGAAGCCTCCACTTTCACTTCAGACAACGTCGGCGTTGCTGAGTAGAGGAGAGGCGGTAGGGTGTCGGTGTCTGGTCTGGTGTGGTGTGGGCTTCTCTATTTGTACTATTTCTTCCACACCACCAGCTCGTGCTCACCTCACCTTCCAGACAGGTATCCTCTTGTCGTCTCTCTACACACAACATGTCCTTCAGCTTCGGCGGCGGCAGCACCGCCCCCTCTTCCACCTCTTCCACTGCTGCTTCTGCTTCTGCTTCTAGTGCTACTATATCTTCGCCTTCCGCCGCGGCGCCCACAACGCCCGCCGCCACTGCCGCCCCCAACGCTGGATGGCCCACATCCGCCCCGGGCACCTTCAGCTTCGGCGGGGCCGCCACAGCGCCGCCGCCGTCAGCTCCTCCGGCGACCACGCCCGCCACCACCCCGGCCTCGTCTTCATCCAGCTTCGGGGCCGCCGCCACCACCCCGGGCACCTCCAGCTTCGGCAGTTCACTGTTCGGCGCCGCCACCAGCAGCACCAGCGGCAGCACAGCGTCCACCTCCACCTCGTTGTTTGGCAGCTCAACCGCACCACCAACGGCGGCGGTGCCGTCATCGACCAGCGGCCCTGCCATGAAGCCGATGACGAATGCCTTCGGACCCGGCACCACGGGCTCTAGTCTGTTTAGCGGCTTCGGCCAACCAGCGGCCACCGCCGCCACCACCACCTCGGGCGGGGTCTTCGATTTCGGCGCAGCCACCTCGGGTGGGTTCGGCCAACCCGTGACCACCACCTCGGGCGGCGGCTTCGGGGGTTTCGGCTCAGCCACCTCGGGCGGCTTCGGCCAACCAGCAGCGGCCGCCACCACCACCTCGGGTGGAGGCGGGTTGTTCGGCTCCACCACCACCACGGGCGTCTTCGGCCAACCAGTGGCCACCGCCGCCGCCTCGGGCGGGGGCTTCGGTTTCGGCGCAGCCACCTCGGGTGGGTTCGGCCAACCAGCAGCCACCACGCCCACCTCGGGCGGCTGCTTCGCTACTTTCGGCGCCCCGTCGACCACCGCTCCCACCTTCGGCGCGCCCGCCGCTACCGCCGCGGGACACTTCTCCAGCTTCACCCCCACGCCAGTACTGCCCCCAATCCCTCTCTCCCCTCCTGTCTGCTCGTGTCGTCTCACCAGCGTGTTTCGTGTCGTGACATGTCGTGTCGTGTCGTGTGTCGTTATTCAGGAGAGGGTGAATGTGGCACGGCTCTTTGATAGAAGGGACCTGTTCCCGGACGTGATCCTACAGTACCAGGGCCAGGACATCTACGCGCACAGGGCCATCCTGGCGCTGGGCTCGCCCAAGCTCCAGAAGATGTTTGACGACCATTCGACCCAGCCCCCGATGATGCAGGAGAACAAGCCCGTCTACTTGCTCGACGACGACATCAAGGGGCTCCAGCTCACCGACGTCTCCCGCATCATCAAGGTTCCGATGCAGCCCAACCCCCCCCCTCTCTTCTACTACTTATCACACATCTCATCGGTGCGTGTCGTGTCGTGTGTATGTTGCGTGTGCGTGTGCGTGTGCGTGTGTGTGCGGTGAGACAGTTCTGCTACACGGGCTGTTTTGATGCCGACCTGCCCTTGGCCAGGCTTGTTCAAATAGCGCTGGTGGCCGAAGAGTTTAAGATGACCAGCCTCTCGTACGTCCCACGCACCACACTACAACACATTCTCCCCCCCCTTGCCCAAGTTTCCCTGCACTCGCGCTTACCAGGGCTCGTTCAGGTCCATCTGCCAAACGCTGTGCCTCCACAAGGCAATGGCCGAAACCTCGCTGGAGCCCATCCTCGAAACCCTCGAGGTATGCCCGCCCCACTTCGCTTCTCCATCTTTTCATTGTGCTGCGTGCTCATTTCGTTTATTCACCGATCGATCGATCGATCGATCGTGTGTGTGTGTGTGTGTGTGTGTGTGTGTGTGGTGTGTGTGTGGCCCGTCGTGGCCGGCCGCAGACTGCGCACCAGAACGGGCTCGTGGAACTGAAGAAGGGAATCATGACCTTCCTGAAGGAGGCGTCCTCCAACCTTGGCGCCACGGTCGATGAGTTTATGCGCCTCGATAAGGACCTCCTCGCTGAGTTCCTCCTCCACGTACGCCCCCTTCCTTCCCTTCCTTCACCTTCTCTACCTACCGGCCGACTGCGCTCATCGTTAGCACCTTCGCTCGCTCGCTCGTTTGTTGCGTGAGGGCAGGTTACGGGCATGCTGCACCCCAGCACCCCCTCCGGAGCATTCGATTTTGGGAGCTCGGTGTGAGGGCCGTTCAACCCGATCGCCTGCCAATTGTGTCCCATCCACGACAAGGGGACATACATGTCCACCGACACAGCACCTGTATTTCTCGTGTTTCTTGCTTCTTTTTTGACCACACAGGCGGCAACAAAAGCGTTACCTTCGTCACACCACTACCGTTCTTGTGCACTCGCTCGATCGTGCTCTGCTTCTCTGTTCGTTGGCGCCACTTACTTCTCGCCAGCACATTCCAAGCCGTGGAATGCGTAGTATGCGAAGAGGCAAAGCTTGCCCTCGAGATTAGGAAATGCTGGCAAACGGCCGAAGCGACACGCGGTCTCGGCCAATCAGGCGCTCCCGAGTGATCACAAACAAATACAACGACGAGAGACTGTTTATTCACTCATCATCACTTCGTCTACCACTATTACCAACTCTCTCTCTCTCTCTTCTTCTCTTCTCTTCTCACCTACGGTCTCCCAGTACTCTTCTACACACTCGCTACTCTGTGCTCTCGCATCTTCCAGGCGTCTTCCTATCGTCTCTCTACACGACATAATGTCGTTCAGTTTCGGCGGTAGCACTGCCCCTGCTTCCACCTCTTCCACTGCGCCCCATCGACCACCACCGGCTCCCCGTGGAGCTCCAGTTCGTTGGCGTCTGTCTGACTGCAGCAGACGTCTGCTGCGGCTGCAAGGTTCCGATGCAGCCCAACTCCCCCCCTCACTTCTACTTGTTACACACCTCACAGGCGTGCATGTTGAGTCGTGTTGCGTGCGTGTGTACATTTCTGCTACACGGGCTCTTTCGATGGCCACCTCTTTCGATGGCTGCCCTTACGCAATCTGGTTCAACTACATATTGCTGGTGGCCGAAGCAACCAGGATCACCCGGGCGGGTTCCCGTCCATCTGCCAAGCGCTGTGCCTCGACAAGGCAAGGCCCCAAACCTCGCTGGAGTACGTCCTCCAAGCCCTCGAGGTGCTCCCGCCCCTTCTTCATCTTTTCATTGTCCTGCGTGCTCACCTCGTGTATTCAATCGCTCGCTTGCTGCGTGAGCGACCTGCAGGTTGCGGACATGGTGTACCCCACTCCCTTGAGTTCTGGGCGCTCGAAGTGAGACATTCGCCCTCGTCACGCGTGTGTTCCACCCACGATAACAAGGGGACAGCACGAAGCCGGCGGACACAGCACCTTGTATTGCAAGAGAGTGTCTTGCTTCTTTTGTTGACCACAAGGCGACAACAAAGACAACATTCAACATATTACCTTCGTCACACCCGCACGCACGGGTTGTAGTTGGTACGACATCAGGCAGGCGGGTCGTCGTGGGGCGGCTGCGGCGAGGCAGCGGCGGGGGCAGGGTGCGCAGGGTGCGCAGGGTGCGCAGGTGCGGAAGTAGGGTCCGGGGCAGGGGCAGGCGCAGCCTCAGCAGCGAGAGGCGAGAGGAGTCGGCGAGCGGCGAACCACAGGTGGTAGCCCGTGCCGAGGAGGCACATGACTGGGCTGGTCCGCAGGTGCGGACTGGCCACGGTCCGCTCACGGCGAGCCACCATTCCCAGCGACTCACCCAGCGACTCCCACCAGTACTTGACGCCCACCAGCTTCCTCGTTTGTTCTGCACACCAGCCGGCCCCAGTGAACACACGCACACACACGCACACACACACACATACACACACGCACGCACAGCGGTACCTATGATCGCAAGCTGGCTGGCCTCGAGCTGCCGTTCGAATTCCTTGAGGGTCCAGATGGCGATCTCCTTGTCGCTCTGTTGCAGGACAGCCGGTGGTGGGTGCACCAGCGGCGTCATCCGTTCTCGCACTCGCTCGATCGTGATCTGCTTCTGTTCGTTGGTATCCGCAATCTTGGTGCTCTTGAGGATGGCCACGTCTCGCCGGCACACGCACAGCTCGTAGTCCCTGTACCCTCAAACCATATCAGCACTCCTCTCTCTCTCTCTATGCGTGTGTGTATGTGTGTTGTATGTGTGTGTGTGTGTGTGTGTGTGTGTGTGTGTGTGTGTGTGTGTGTGTGTGTGTGTGTGTGTGTGTGTGTGTGTGTGCGCGCGCGCGCGCGCGCGTGTTGCCGTGCATGTGTCGTGGAAGAGTACCGGCAAATGGCTTCGAGGGCGAGGATGAGGCACCGCCGCTTCTCGGCGTCGGTGAAGGCCTGCCATCGCGTCACGCCGATGTGGGGCGTCGACTGCGCGGCGCTCGAATAGTAGGCGAGCACGGCCTGGATCGCCGGCGACGCCGTCGAGTAGGCTGCCATGTTCCGCAGCAACCGCAGGTCGGCCAGCACCAATCGGTAGTCGTTCTCCGTCAAAACCGGCCGAAACACCTACCGTGTGTGTCGTGTGTGTCGTGTGTGTCGTGTTCGCACATGGGACCTCGAACAAAAAAAGAAGGTAGGGAGGAGGTGAGGAAGAGGAAGAAGTGTACATTGGGGGCGAGGTCCCATGTGCTGCTCTCGGCGTGTGACTCCCGGATGTAGATCGCGAGCTCGCGCGTCATCTCAAACAGCTCCTCCACCGGAATGGTGTCCACGTCTATGTTCTCCATCCGAAAGTACGGTCTTGCACGGTGAAGAGAAGAGTGTGTCGTGTGCGTCGTGTGTGTCGTGTGGCATCATGAGACACACCGATAAAATGCCCAGTTTGGGGAGTGTTACTTGAGTGACCTGAGTTGGCTTCGGCAGTACTCTATTAGTTCTTCGTCCGTGTCCGCACCCTGATGAAGAAAAGATGTTGTGTGTTCATCACACGTCATCATGAGGCGAGGATAGCGCCGATGATCGGGCATGGCTGTGTGTGTGTGTGTGTCGTGCGTGACGTGTGTGTCTCATGTGGATTTACCTCGTGTGTGATCCGTTCAAGAATATCTGCGAATGTGTCGTCTGTGGTTCCCTCCCAATTGCTCGCGATGGCTCCCTCACCACCTTCATCGTCTTCATCTTCTTCGTCCTCATCTTCATCCTCGTCGTCGCTCTCTTCGTCGGCCTTGTGTGACTGGTCTTCGTCCTCCTCGTCGCTCTTCTTCGCGCCGTTTCCTGACGCCTCTAAGCTGCCACGTCTTCGCTTTCGTTCTAGCTCATTCTTTTCGCGTTCTTCCAGGCGCTCCGACTCTATTTGAGGCGAGAGTGAGGTAGTTGCGGTCGTGTAGTGTGTGTGTGTGCGTGCGTGCGTGTCGTGTCGTGTCGTGTCGTGTCGTGTCGTGTCGTGTCGTGTCGTGTCGTGTCGTGTCGTGTCGTGTCGTGTCTAAGTGCACAGAGAAGGAGAATAGCGAGGAGTGGAGAACCTTTGAAAGCTTCATCGATCTGGCGGATGTGCTCGCCCACGGGGAAAACGAATGGGCGATCACCAAAGTTGAGCCGCACTCGCGCACCGGCAGAGTGGAGCGTGACGATGGGGTAGAACTTGCGGCAGTGCTTGAGCTTCTGCACGGCGACGCCCAGCAGCTCGCCGTTCTTTGTGAAGAACAGTGACCGCGACAGGAAATTGACACCACACCCTGTCAAGTGAAGTGCACAGGGAAGAGTGTATGGTGTGTTGAGTAAGCATTGTAATAAATTTCTATATAGAAATATGAGACACACACTGTAGGCATACCAATGACATCGCCCGTGGTGAAGGTGGGACCCCACTTGCGCCCAATGCCGGACTGAGCGAACACCCGACCGTCGTCAGCGTGGTACCCGTACGACCTGGGGAAATGTGAGGCACGCGCCACACACCGACGCACGACACACACAACGAAGCCAAGCGGTGGGTGTACCCTTTTCGCCAGCCTGCGGGCGCCATGCTACGAGGAAAGTGTTGAGGGCGATGCCAATCATGACTTGCCTGGCGAGGCAGCACAATTTGTCGAACGCGAGGGTGAGTGAACGTTTGAATGGAAGAAAGACTCTGAAGCGAGGGCAGGAGGTGGAGGTGGAGGTGGTCAAGCTGTACCCGACATCACCAGCGTTTTCGATGTGCACTTCGAAGTAGGACACCGCGCAGTCTTCGCCAAAGGGGAGCGCTTGCAGAGGCATGGTGGCTTGCACCGATTGTGAGAGTTAAGGCTCGAATGAGCGAATGTGTGTGCGTGCCGTGCCGCACGCTGGTCGATGATCGGCCTCGTGACGTGGTGTGCGCACCAGAGGGTGAGTAGTGCGTAAAGGGAAAGGAGAGGAGGCGGAAAGGATATGCCAAAGGGTTCGCCCACCGAGGGACCCGTGCACCGGACGCTGAGCCCATCGTCGCTGATCTCGAGCAAGTCCGGGAGTACGTCCTGTGGCGAAAGGCGGATGGTGCCCACCCGATCGAACTGCCGTTTCCGCTGCACGTATAGGGCAGCCCAATCCACCTCGCCGTTCATGTTGCTAATGAAGAAGCCTCGCCTACACAAGCATTTCTACAACAGCAACGTTGAGAATACAAGATTACAAGCTGGCATTTTCCAAGGATGTCGATGTTTGGCACGAGAGACGCACCCAGAGCCAGGAGTCGAGCGAAAGGAGGCGCCAATGCTTGCATACGAGCCCATTCGTCACCAATTCACGCGCCGTGAAGAATGAAAAAATGTGTAAACACACCTGCAGAAACCTGAGGTGAGTGGACAGGCCACAAAGTACCCATGCAGGTTAAGAGCACAGAAACGGGGCCTCCTACCTCTTCTGATAGCGCAGCGCACGGATCCATCTGTGCCAATTTCTGGCGCCTTTTTTCTATTTTTGTGCCAAGCAAAAAAGGTCGAAAGAAAATATAAAGGAAAATGTTAAGTTTTGGCCCTCAATACCCATTCGCAGCTTATCCCCTCCCGGTAGCGGCTCTGGACTCCTAAGTTCCGCTCGTCACGCCATGTCCGGAGCTTCGGGTTGTGCAATGAAGCAACGACCAATCGCCGGTGATCGGTTTGGCTCCGCTTGTGCGTGAGACAAAGATTGATCAGATTGCTACTGCATCCACTCCCATCAATCGATTGATTCTAATTACTACGGATTCGAACAAGATGAAGACCACACTCGCCTTCCTGGCTTCGCTCGTCGTGCTGCTGTGCGCCTTTAACGTCCTCAGGACCGAGGCCGCCATCGATGGCGCCACCGCCACCTTCACCAACCAGACCTTCAGCGAGAACGGCACCAACCTCATCGGCACCTTCGAATTCACCAAGGACTTTGCCGCCGATTCCCTCCAGTGCAACTTCACCTTCCCCGGCGACAAGACCTTCTTCAAGGTCATGGACCGCTACCTCATCAGCTACAACCAGCAGCGCCCCAACTTCACCCTCAAGAGCGACATCAGCGTACGTCTCTTTATCTTTCGCGTTTCGTTCTTTCCTCGCTTCATTTTTCGGTCCGTTTTTATTTTTATTTTATAATTAACAATTTTATAATTAACAATTTTCATTACAATAATTATTAATAAAATTCTTGTTGTGGTGCAGTCCAAGACGCTCAGCACGGGTTTGGTGCACATTTACAACAATGCCACCATCACCAACGGCACGTCGATCGTCTACTACCTCTACCCGTACGACCAGCAGAAGAACTTCGGCAGCAAGTTCGACCTCGGCGTCAGCTGCCAGCTCGATGGTGATGTGCTCGTCGAGCAGACCCTCGCCAGCGTGGTGATCAACAACCCCAAGGGCGGCAGCTCGAGCGCGGCCACCATCACCAGCTTCTTCCTGCCCCTCCTCACCACCTTCCTCCTCTACTAAGCGATCCAACCAAGTTCGCTTGTACAGACGTTACAATCAAATCAATCAATATTGCTCGTTATTGATTGATTTTTTAATTTATTTTTTTAATGTTTCTATTTATTGCTTGTGGGCAAATAATTAATTATATATTTATTTTTATATCACGCAATGTTGAGTGTTGCGTCCTGGGCGAGTTGGAGCAGGTCAGCGTCGACGATGGGCCTACCCTTGGTGTCGGTCACCTTGTGCGCCTTCACCCTGTGAGAGTTGTGGTCAGCACCTTGCTCGGTCAAAACAGAGAAGGTGAGAGCGTGTGGCGAGACCTGAACTTCTGTTTGACGAGCTTGGCCAGTGCGTCCATGTTGCGAGGGCTCAGCACTACCATCTTGCGTTGGCCGTTGCGGGAGAGCGTGAGGCGCAGCGGTTCTTCGGCCTGTGGTCGGGCCGGCCTCACGTCGTCCGCCTCCTCCTGCCGTCCACCACTTTTTACCTCCGATTGCAGGAATCGCGGCAGAGACGCGTCTTCCTCCTCTCCCTCCGCCTCACCTGTTTCCCACATCGTCGTCGTCATCGAGACAGTGTGGTACCAATCTCTAACGTTAGTACTGAGAATGCGTGGATGAATCAGGTGTCTTGCCGCGCACCGTTGAGGTCGGCGACCTGTGAGTCGATTTTGTCATACTTGATCAGGTTCTTCTTAGTGAACTTGGATCGCGCGTCGCCTGCGTGTTGAGAGGAAGTGATGAGCTGTAGAGTTGGATCTTCCTGCATACAGCCCACTGAGGCGTGGTACCCGGCAGAGTGAAGATGTCGAGAGCCTCCGCCTTCTCCAAGATGAGTGCGAAGTTGGCGTAGAATTCGTCCGTGTGGGCGATGTCATGCCAGCCTCGGCACCGCCTGAATCTAGTGCGTTAGCCACCACGCACGCGTGCCTTGCCCAGAAGCTTTCACTGAAGGCTGGAGTGTTTCGCCCACGCACCGTCCTTCCTCGGTGTGGCCGTTCAGCATCTCGCCGCGGGTGATGGCGTGCGCGAACTCGTGAAGCAGCGTCGCCAGCAGCGTGTTCAGGTCGTAGCACTTGCGCGAGTTCTGGTACCGCAGCCTGATCCCTATCGACTGTATTCCGTCACCACCTCAACAGTGTGAGCAAATTGCTACTGCATGGCACGGCCTTATGTATGTCGAGGCCCTCGATTTCCAGAGAAGCCGCACACCTCCACTACGTTCTCATGGGCGACCCTTCTTCGACCCACCTCCTTCCAGTTCCCGTGCAGTGTGTAGGTGATGCCCATGTAGCTGTCCTATCCTTGACAAGGTCGGAGTTTAGACTCAAGCCGAGGGAGGAGGGGCAGAGGGGGTAAGTGGGTACGTGGTTGAGCTCTCGAATGGGGAAGTCAAGGGGAAGGGCGGTGATGCCACCCTCGTGGTGCAGCCGGTCCCGCACTTTTGAAAAAACACTGAGCAGCTCCTGGGCTCGGTCGCTGCTCTCAACTTCCAGCATACCAAGTTCCTGCTCCCCCTCCATTGTTCTTCTACTGGTACTATTTTCTTGTTTTTGTTTTTGTTTTGTTTGTTTATATTTGCGTCCATAAAATAAAATAAATTTATTTGGCTGCAAGAGTGAGGGACACGAAGACGAAGATGCAGCCGGCAAGAGAGGTGGGGTGGGCTCACGCGGCCAACGATAGGTTGCAGCTTCGGGATGCGCTGGGTGATGATCGAATCTCGATGATCGAGGCTGACGTCATGTTCCGTAGCGGCAATGAAGATGCTGCGGCAGCGAAGGGGGCGGGTGTGCCGGTGATGGCGCACCCGCCCTCCATCCCGCCCGACGCCATGCCCTTCGAGGCCTGGTTCGATCTCATCTTGGAGCACAACCGAAGCGTTGCCGCAGCAGCTGATGGTGAAGGAACGAAGAAGACCAAGGGCGTGAAGCTCGACTTCAAGTCGTTCGCCGCCGTGGCCCCGTGCCTGGCCGTCCTCGTGGCCCGACAACAGGTCCGCGGACCCTTCGGCTTTCCTGTTTGGCTCAACGCCGACGTACTTCCCGGTCCTGGTACCCGTGGCTGCTCCCGTGCGTGTCGTGCGTGCGCGCGAGGTGTGCAATGGTGCGTGCGGACGTGCCGAGGTCTCACCACACTCACGACAACTACACCAGGCGGCCCGTCGTCTGCGTTCGACGGTCGCGCGTTCGTCGAGGCGTGCCAGCAAGCGCTGCCGGGCGCGGTGTTGTCTTGGGCTGGACAACGGGCTATCCGACCAACGAGCGCGACATGGCGGGCTACACAGCCGACATGATCGACGCCATGCTGGCCCTGGTCGACGCCCACGTGCGGGAGGGCACCCATGTCACGTTCCCGCTGCAGCTGTGGTACGCCCACCGGTCGTGGCCGCAGGTCGAGCGATTGCTGGCGCGGCAAAGCTGCGATGATGGTCGCCAGAAGCTCGTCAGCTCCACCATTACGTTGTGGGGCGAGGAGGTAGCAAGTATTCGACAGTGGGTGGAGGCCACGGCTCACTACCTAGACGACCGCATCTACGTCGACCTCGTCCCCGCCGCAGCGACCACCGCCCGTGTGTAGAGAGTCTTTTCCTATTTATATTACTTGGAATTCCAAATATATCCCATAATCGTGAAAATCGGAATGCAGTTCGCTGAGGGGGGGGTGAGACGAACCATAATGGGAGCCGGGGGGCGAGAGCGCAGCTTCAAGGTGGGCGAGAGGCCAGGCTTACAGTTCGGGCGCCGGTGGAGGGAAGCCCAAGCGAGCCGACTCTTCGCCAGCCGACCGTACACGTCAGCATGTTACTTCGAAAGACTACAACTCTGCAACTACTGAATGATCAACTCATCAATCACTACGACAACTATCAATCCTGATAACACGATAACCACCTTCTTCAAAGAAAGCGATAATCTTACCCTTCAACCAACTGCGACGAGGTTCAGCCTAGGTGGGAGACCGGACCCATCTGTCGGTGGTGGGTCCCGCCATCTGAGGCGGGGCTCGCTGCCGGCAGACCGGTCGACCATGAGACACCACCACTCGTCGCCCTCGACGTCCACGCGAGGCACTTCGACCGAAACTTATCCCACCAATCGACCCCAGCCTTCAGCCGCTCCTTGCGCTGCCAGCTCCGTCCCCCAGCCGAGCCAGCTCGACCACCGCCCAAGGTGGGCACCGTCCCACCGAAAGCGGCGATCGAAGGCCCGGCCGCGTCTCTCGCACACCACAATCGCACACGGCTGACGTCAGCAACGACGATCGGCTGTGTGCCGACGGTCCTCTCCCCTCCGCCGACTGCTGGGCAACCGGCGGCCGGCGAGGGTGGAGGACTTGAGGGACCACACCAGCGACGGACGAGCGCAGCCAACCGAAACCACATCAACCCACCTGCCGAGGATCGGACTAAACCACCACCTCGCCCAGGAAGGAGCGATACCACTGAAGGACCAACTACATGCGACGCCACCTTCCCTCCACCAACCGCCCCCTTTTTTAGTTGATAAAAACAGATGCCGATATATTGGTAAAATGTGGTTGATATGTTTATATATTGTAAATTGTACATTAAATATCAAAAATCACATAATAAATGGTTGAAAAATGGTTCTTTTACGGTTCACTTGTCGCCGCGCATGAGTTCGTAGGCGCGGGTGCGGTAGGCGTCGTGGCGGGCCTTCTTGTCGTCCTTGGCGCGCTGGTACTTGTCCGCGATCTGGCCCATGGAGTGCATCTCCTGCTCCTCGTGGTCGAGATACCGCTTCCACTTCCTTCGCTGCCAGAACTCGCCGTGGCACACCAGGCAGTAGCAGCAGCCCACCATCAGCGTGCACGACAGCGCCAAGACCGCTCCTATTCGCATTTGTGAGGCGCGTGTGCGTGCGTGTGCGTGTGCGGTGGTGCGTGTGCGTGTGCGTACCGGCGCCAACGGTGGCGATGAGGGTGAGCTTGAGGGAGTCGTTGCCGTCGTCTCGCCACCCATCGGGTCGCCAGTAGAGGAAGAGGACGAGGAGCGCGATGATGAGCCCGCCGATGCCCGCAGCGATGCTGACCAAGTTCAGCCACACCGGGCAGCGACGGCCCTTCCACTGCTTCGGTTTGTCCCACGACGTCTGAACACTGCGCGTGGAGCCCTCTCTGCTGCTCTCTCCATCCTCGCTCATACCTAAGTCCGTCCATCGCCGCACACGTATGTGCCACCGCACCAAGGACGCGAAAGGTGAGGACCCCGACAAGAGAAACTGGGGGGGGGGCGAAGGAGGGCAGGAGCGGCACCAGAAAAGATGGCGGTGCCGACCGCGGAGGAGGGAAGGAGGGGCTCGACCTTGTCCACCGCACGCTTGGCCCTCCACCCCGAAAACAGGAACTTGGAGGTACTCTTCACCTTCTTCATTTTGTATTTTATTCTTTTACTCACTGCCAAGGGCGTACGAGAAGAAGTATTATCTATTCACATTTCTTTTTGTTTCTCTCTTTTTTCTTATTGGTGTCTGCTCCTGCATGCAGCAAGCACGAGCGCGGCCAGCGGCGCCAGGCGCGCCCCCAATGACACGTCGTCGTGGCCTCCCGAAGGACTGGGCGAAGGAGACTTGGAAGAGCCAGGCTGCGGCGAGGAATTAGGAGAAGGCGACGCGGATTCGGCCGGCCGGGTGTTGTCCACGATCACAAGGTTGTCGAGGGAGAAGCTGGCCGACTGGCCGTCGGCGGCGCACGCCAGGCCGAAGGAGAAGGCCTGGCCCAGGTCTTTGCCTTGTTCGTGCAGCCACACGTAGTAGGTCAGCTCCGTACCAGTGGAGACAGCGCCTTCGTTGCGCACATGCAGCTTGCCTGAGCTCAGTGGTTGCGCCTGCAAAAATAATAATAAATATTTGTTATGGTGGAGAAAGGACAACATATCCATATATGCCTTATGTGCCTGATATATATCTGTTTAAAATAACACCCAAATAATACTTGGGTTGGCGTACGTTGATGTCGCTGGGGAAGGAGAGACCGGCCAAGTTGGACCCTCTGAGGGTGTAGTACTGATTTATACTCTGGAAAGTGAGCGCGCCGGGGAAGGTGAAGGTGCAGTTGACGGCCTCGGAGGCATAGCCCTGGGTAAAGCCGAACTGGGCCACCAGGTTGGTGCCGTTCTGGCTAAAGGTCTGGTTGGTGAAGGTGATCTCCACCCCAGCCAGCTGGGCTCGCGCCACACCCGAGAAGCACCCGAGGACCACGACAAGCCAAGCCAAGTAGAAGGTGAGCATGAACCCTCTCGTCATCCTCAACCGATGTGGTTTGGTTCGAGTTGGGATTGTAAAAAGATAGAAGAAGTAGCATAACTACGCGTAGCAGAGATCCCCCATGAGACAACACGTGACACAGAATGTTGCAACACGTGACTTGGGTATGAGCTGAGGCACGCCAAGAATGTCAACCATGACAACAATGTAACAAGCCCAAGCGCGACTCTTCAGAGTCCCTCGTAGCTGGAGTCGAGGTGGAAGAACTCGTAGCCGCCCTTGCCGTCGAAGCGGAGGACGTACTCGTGGAAGCGCCAGAGCGTCTTGCGATGCGAGATGGTGAAGAGCGTGCAGCCGATCTCCTTGCAGTACTCGTACATCGCCGCTTCTATGTCGACGCTCACCGCACTGTGGTAGTGGTAGCAGAATAAGAAGATTATGGTGGTGAAGGTCAGCCAACAGCCCGATCGGCTCAGCGCGTGCGGTGCAGCGACGCAGGGGCGTGGCGAACCTGGTGCACTCGTCGAGAACGGCGAAGAGAGGCCTGTGGTAGAAGAGGCGGGCCATGGCGATACGCTGCTTCTCTCCGCCCGACAGGACGTCCCACCAATCTGCACGCGCGTCCCAGCCACCGAAGCGCTTCACCAGGTAGGACAGCGCCACCTGTCCATCATGGGCCACGTTACGCATCAGCACCGCCGCTGCCAGCACTGCAGTCATTGAGAGGGGGGGGGAAGGTGGTGCGGACCTTGTCCATCAGCTGCAGGAGCTCCGAGTCCTTGACGCCCAGCCTGTCCAGGTCCTTCTTGGTGTGCGGATAGACCACCTGCAGACCCTCTGGGTCAGATCACACAGCAAACAGAGACAGAGTAGGAAAAAGGGGGTTGTTGTGGCGCCCACCTGGTCCCGCAGGGTGCCGATAGCGAGGTAGGGCCGCTGAGGGATGTAGAAGAGGTGCTTCTTGTTGGGTCGCGTGAGCCGGCCGCCACAGAGAGGCCACAGGTCGCCCAGCGTACGGAACAGAGAACTGGTGGCCGCCGCGGGCGCAATTAGTCATTAACGCGGATCGCGTGCGGTCTTTGGGGGGAGGAGAGATTGAGGGCTTTGGCGAACCTTTTGCCGCAGCCGTTGGGTCCGGCGATCAGGCAGTTCATGCCGGCCTTGATCTCAAAGTTGAGCTCCCGCAAGAGGACGTCACCGTTGGGTGTCACGATCGGCACATGCTCGAAGCGGATGATGGCTAGCCAGCAAAAAGTCATAGGTCAGCGCAACATGGCACGACAAGCGCACGATGCTCGCGACACGACACACGACACACGACCGAAAGGGTTCATGGCATAGCGTACGTGTGTCGCTGGGTCCGATCTCGACGAGCTCGCCGCGCGAAGTGATCGGGTCGATGTGGTCCACGGTCCTCTCCTCGCCCTCCTGCGGCTCACGCACCGTTTGAGTCCGAACGAAGGTGCCGCTGTTGATGTCCCCGAGCACGTTGTAGAGCTCGGCCACGCGCGAAGTGTAGCCCGCCAAGTGGGACAGCTCCCGCCCGCTGGACACCAGTCGCCCGACCGCGCGCACCATCACCTGTGGGTGGTGGTGGTGGTGGGTTCGCTGCTGGTTAGCCACCACTCTTAGGGTTGGGGGGGGGATGATGTGTTGTGAGAGACGAAACCATCAGTAGTCGCATGTAGCGTGTGTAGTCCTCCATGATCTGCTTGGGATTGCCACCGAGCGACTCCACACTGTACGCCAAGCAAAGTCAATAACAGATGAGCGAGGTTCTTCGAGGTGTGCTGTGGTGTGTGTGTGTGTTGGCCGGTGCGCGTACTAGCGGCTGGCGCGTCGGGGATCGAAGATGGGCGCGGTGACAATGAAGTAGCCCACGAGGGTCCCGCTGTACTTGGTCACGCAGGAGTCGATGACGCCCAACACCGTCCGGAAGCGGAGGTAACGCGAAACGATGCGCACCAACTGTGGACGACGGCCTGGCGGTTAGTGAAAGGGGGGGGGGAGCGAGTGCTATCGCCGGCGCCAGGGAGAGGGCTTTGTAAGCAAGAGGTGCGCACTCGGTGGAAGGCCGAATCGATGATACCCTTCTCGCGCTCGCCGCCGTTGTAGAAGGCGATCTCCTCGCCGTTAGTGATGAGCCGCGAGTGGCAGTAGCGGAACTCGCCTAAAAGGAACACGCGTCAATAGGAGCCAAAAAGTGACAATTGTTTAAAAAACCAATAATACCAATGTCAAATCATTACTAATAAGCAAGTAAGATAAATCGCGGCAGTGTGGGTACCCTCCAGCTTGGCCTGCGTCGAGGCATACCAGGCGAATGGTGCGCGCAGCTTAGTCATGACGGCTCCGGCCAACACGAAGTAGAGAATCATGGTCGTGGGACCTACAGGCGCCAACGGTGTTGGTGAGCTCAAGAGTAGGTCAAGCGACTAAAGAAAGAGAGGGAGAGGGAGAGAGTGTGTGTTGTACCGCCCCAGCCAAACTGTTGGACGAGGTTCCTGTAGAACAGGATGACGTCGATGATCGGCTTGGTGATGTTGGAGTAGAGCGTGCTCAGCGAGCTGGCAAACCGATCGATATCCTGCCCCCGCGTGACTTCAGTGTCACTGCACTCACGTGGAATGAGGTTACTAATAATGTACACATACCTGGGTGAGCATCTGGTCGGCATTGTCGATTCGGTTGTCGAGGTTGGACACGGCGTAGTAGGTGAAGCCCTTCATGTAGTGCTGGTGGAGGTGCAGCGTGAGCCTGGCTCACATAAAACGTTCCAAAAAGGAACGATCAGTGATCAGTCGATGAAGAAGACCAGAGAGGTGCGATGAGAGAGAGAGAGAGGGAGAGAGGATGATGATTGGGTACCGTTCGCGGAAGTAGAGGGCGAGGTTGTCGATGAAGTGTTTGAGGAGGTTATTTACAAGCGAGGTGGGGAACTGCATGAGGGCGAACTGGATGATGTATTTGAGGAAGCGGCTGAAGTCCCTCTGCACCACGGCGCCCAGGATGTTGGCGTTGTTGGCGATCATCCAAAAGTCGAGCCACGTGCGCGACTAATAAATACCATATGAGGGCGCCATCAACATCCATTATCAGCACCACCAACAACATCAATGAGTTGAAGTCACCAGAAGTCAAACAGATGTCACATAGTAAGAGCACGAACCATCAGAATGACAAACACGCCGAGCATCGTTGCCACTTCCCTCGTCCAAACGCCCTACAAGTTTCCAAGAGGAAGAGGAGTGATGTGAGTGACTTTGTAACGAAGACGAAGAAGAAAGAGAGAGTTGGTTGGGGCCTGATGGTAAAGGGCGCACGGGAATGAGGATGGGGAGGAAGCGTGAGAGCTGTTGAAAGAACTCCCGGTTGACGGCGGTCTTCCCCTTTCGCTTCTGGGCAGCGGGATCAACCATGCCCAGTCCGCTGCTGGAATCGCTTCGCGGGCGTGTTTGCCCCGGCCCGCGCTTGCGCGCCATCATGTTCGAGCCTGCACGTGTGGTGTTGTGTTGTGTTGTTGCAGTATTGTCAGTATTTAGAAGCTTGTGTGTCACTATTTCGATGTTTGGGCGTTGTTATTAATCGCATAATGGGAGTTGGGCCCTTCCCGTTGTATAATGCATGATTAACAAGTTGAGCTAAGCAATACAACATGTGGAGTTGCATAAATCATCCAGAATTGCGTACCAACATAAGCGGCTGTGGCGAGAGCGATCAATCCACCGCCGGCGGCCATCTTTCGTTTCATCACTCCCGATTGCACTTTCTGGAGTTGCTGGAGGAAGCCAGCGGCCACTCCCGGAGCGAGATCCATGTCGATTAATCCTCTTTGTTCAAATTCTGTCTCGAATCACTTCTTTGTCTCTCTGCTGTTGCCGATCGTCTTTGCGTCTTGCGTGGTGCCAACGAACGAGGAAGTGGCCACCACAAGCGAGAGAGATCGAGGAACCTGAAGAGCCCAAGCGTCAGGCAAAAGTTCGCGGGGAACAGAAAGAAAAAGATCTGCTTGTGGGAAATCCGCTTTTCCTGATTTTTAAGGAGGCGGCCCACGTCATCAGTAGAAATATTTTCTCGGAAATAAAGTGGCTTTTATTTGTATTTTTTGTTTTTATTTTCGATTAACGACAACCGGTTGTGATCCAATCGAACAAGACGAGCTTGCGAGATGGAGGGCGCTGAATGGGTGTGTGGATCGTGCACGTTCTCTAATGGAAATGAGGCGACTGCGTGCGAGATGTGTGGAAGTGATAAGCCGGCAGCGCCCACCAATTCACAGGCAAGGGGGCCAGCGAGTGGTGGAGAACAACAGAGCCAGGAGGCGGCAAAGAAGGCGAGTAAGAGGCAACCCAGGCGTAAAAGACGAAGAGAGACCGGAGGGGACGATGACGACGACTTTGACGCGAGGAAGGGAAAAGACAACGCCGACAAGGAGGACGACTTTGTTGACGAGGCCGACGATGAGGCGCGCCTCACCAAGCTCGTCAATCAGATGCAAAAGCTCAACAAAAAATCGTACCCTCATTCACATTTACTTATTTATTGTCAATCATTGATTATTTTTATATATTTATTTATTCTCTTGTTTTGTAGGGTGCCTCTTGAGCAGCCAGGGACGGTGGGCAACTGTGAGCTGAAGCAACACCAGGTAAAATTGCCCTGTGCCGTGAGTTGTGGCAAGTGCTGACCTTCACTCACCACCGTGTTCGCCATTGCAGCTGATAGCGCTCGGCTGGCTGGCGTCGTTGTACTCGAAAGGGCTCAGCGGCATATTGGTTCGTGGGCAGATGGCCTTCCACGCACTTTGAAAGAAGACACCCTCAAGTGCTGAAGGTTTCCTTCTTTCGTCCTCATCCACCTATGTAGGGAGATGAGATGGGCCTGGGCAAGACACTGACGGCCATCGCTCTCCTGTGCCACCTCATGGAGGAAAAAGAAAACCACGGACCCTTCTGTACGACCTCCCCGTCCTTTGGCCTCTTTCGTTCATCGTCTCTAACGCGGTCTGTTCGTGGTGTGCGTGTGCGTGTGCGTGTGCGTGGTGGTGCGTGTGCGTGTGGTTACGGAATGACAGTGGTGGTGGCTCCGCTCAGCGTGGTGGACCATTGGCAAAAGGAGTTCGAGAAGTACGCGTCGACGGTCAAGACGCTGCGCTACATCGGCGAGAAGGAGGAGCGCGAGGAGCTGCGGGGCAAGCTCAAGAAGCGCGATCCGAGCGTGGATTTCAATGTGCTCATCACCACGCCCGAGCTGCTGAGGGCCGACTCCGAGTTCCTCCAGCGCTACAAGTGGCGCTACGGCATCATCGACGAGGCCCACCGACTCAAGAACCCGTACCTGCCACCAGTCTCGACCTTTCCGCTCTTGGCGTGCTTAGCTCACCTGGTTTCCGTACGGATCACAGTGAAAGCGTTTTTTACACCACGCTCCTCGAGTTCCGCATAACCAACAAACTGCTGATGACAGGCACGCCGCTGCAGAACAACCTCAAGTACGACATCACAGCTTTGTACAGCTCAGTTGATGGGGCTACGTTCCAAACGAGCACAGCGGGCTGTTGACTGGCTCACTGACTTTGTTCGGCAGAGAATTGTGGGCGCTGCTCCACTTTGTCGCGCCGAATACCTTCAACGATCTCGACCTGTTCGAGCGTTGGTTCAAGGGCATCGACTGGATGCGATTGAAGAAAGGTGCGGTCCGCATGTCTCGTGATTGAATGTTAATCTCAAGGCACTTATAATCGTGTGATGGCTCGGCAGGAGACGACGATGACGAAGAGTCGGTCAAGGAAAAAGAGTTGGTGAACAAGCTCCAGGAACTCATCAGACCGTTCCTCCTGCGCCGGCGGCTCAACAACGTCATCCTCGAGCTTCCGCCCAAACGAGAGCTGATCGTCTACACGGTACACCAGCTCACTTTCGCACATTTGACAAGTGTGATGCTCTGTTCGCACACGACTAACTGTGTGCCTTTTATTCGTAACGTGCAGGGCCTATCTTCGATGCAGAAGAAGTACTACAAGTGGATTCTCACCCGCGACGTCAACAAACTCACCAAGGGCACGGGAGGCTGGGGCCTGAGGCGAGGCGGAAACCGGTAATGGCTCATTTATATATTTAAGTATTTCTGTAATGTATTTATTTATTTATTTGGCGTTGCCAATACCCGGCCGTAGCTGACCTATCGCCTGGCCTCCAACAGGGCTTCGCTGGCCAACGTCATCATGGAGCTGCGGAAATGCTGCAATCATCCGTACCTCTTTGACGGCGCCGAGCCCGAGTTTGATGGGCAGTTTGTCATGGGTACTTCCCGCACTCGCAGCTGCGGCCGCGTTCTGACTGACTTGCGATGAGTTAGGTGAACACATCGTCGAGAACAGCGGCAAGCTTGCGCTGCTCGACAAGCTCTTGGCCAAGCTGCACAAGGAAGGCCACAAGGTCCTCCTGTTTTCGCAGATGACGCGCATGCTGGACATCGTTCAGGACTACATGCACTATCGCGGCTACAACTACGAACGCCTGGACGGATCGGTTCGCGGCGAAGAGCGATTCCTGGCCATCGACCGGTTCACCGCCGGTACACACTCCATTTCACATTCCTTCAAGCTTGTTTGAGTTGATAGTTGAGTACATGACCCACACCAACGCTGCAGCTGATGAAGAGGACGAAGACGACCGCCCCTTCGTGTTCCTGCTGAGCACGAGAGCCGGCGGCGTCGGACTCAACTTGACGGTGGCCGACACCGTCATCTTCCTCGATAGCGACTGGAACCCGCAGAGGTACCCTCGGGCTCCATTCATTTGGCTGATGCACTGTCACTGCTAGCGCTGGTCTTAGTGTATCGTATGGTGTGTGTTGTGCGTTGTGTCCAGCGATCTACAAGCCGAAGCGCGGGTTCACAGGATCGGTCAGACCAAGGAGGTCACGGTCATCCGACTGGTGACCAAGGACACCGTGGAGGAGGTCATCCTGCAGCGGGCGTTGCGCAAGCTCAAGCTGAGCAGCACTGTGATCGAGGAGGGCAAGTTCCGAGCGGACAAGGACGAGGAGAAGGAGTCGCCCGAGCAGCTGTTCGACATCATCCAGTACGGCCTGCGCAAGGTCATCACCAACGAGGACAGCACCATCGAGGACGAGGACATCGACGCCATCCTGGCCCGGAGCGAGGCCAACATGAAGAATCTGTCGATCCACCAGGTGGACGAGCACATCTCGGCCACGCAAGCGCCGACCATGCTTCCCGACGAGGAAGAGACCATGGAGCTCCAAAGCCAGTCTGTCAAGGTTCACCTCTGGACGCACGCACGCACGCACGCACACACGCACACTGACGTGAAAACAAAATCGTGCAGGAGAGCAGGGAGAAGGACGCGGAGGCTTTGGACGCGATCCTGGAGAGTTCGCTGCTGGCCAAGGCCGGCGCAATCGCTCCCAGCCAACGAATCGGAACCACGCCCCACAAGTCGCGCGTATTTCTCTCTCTCTCTCTCTCGCTTTCGCTTTCGCTTTCGCTTTCTGGTAGTGTCTTGTTTGTGTCGTGTCGTCTGTGCTGATCTTGTTGGGTCACACCAGAGACACTTGCGCGGGCGGAGCGTCGACTTCAACCCCGAAGAAGAGGAGGCCAAGAAGAAGGCCAAGATGGAGCAACGGCGAAAGAAGATGTGGAAGGCCAACGGCTACATCTCGTCGTCGATCATCGCCACACGCTGGGTCGAGGAGGCGGACAAGGTCGAGGAGGCGGAGGAAGAGCCCGAGCCCGAGCCCGAGGCCGCAGCTGCAGCCCCGAAGCCGGCGGTGCAGTGGGTCTGCGGGTCGTGCACGTTCGTCAATCCGAAGGAAAACGACAAGTGCGAGATGTGCGATGCCGAACGTACGCTCGCGTCCGCCTCGAGCAAAGGAAAGAAAAGAGCGAGGTACGCACCGCACGACACTGCACGCTCCGACATGACCACACGACACAGGCGCAGGCGCCAACTCTTTTGACATTTGATGGTTATGCTGTATGTACCCAGGAAGAGGAAGTCGAGGAGCTCACAGACTTGGATGAGGAGGGGCGCGAGGCCGACGACATTCACTTCATCGTGGGAGACGTCACCAAGCCCGTGCCCAGCGTCAAACGGGCCAACAAGAACGCCATTGTCGTGGCCTGCGTCGATGACAGCGGGTCGTGGGGCCATGGAGGTACAGCTCTTCTTGTGGCAGGCGGCTCGGAATGTTGACTCACCTGCCATTAGGTCTGTTCCGTGCGCTGAATCATCTGTCACCGCTACCGGCGGAGCGCTATGCGGAGGCGGGACAGAACAAGGACATCCAACTGGCCGACATTCACCTCGTGTTCAAACAGACACGCACACTGGACGAAGAGGTCTGCACACACACACACACACACACACACCACTGCATGCGGAGACTGACGGATGGCAACGTGGAATTTCAAACAGGCGGGTGATGACGACCTCTTCTGCCGCCCGTCCGACTGCATGCCCATCGCCCACATCGCAGGCCAAGGGGTGTACGTCGCGCTGGTGATCGCGCAGACCACCAAGCGGAACAAGGTGGGTCCCATCCAGCTTCCGGCCCTGTCCCAAGCCCTCCAGAAGCTCGCCCCCGTCGCCAAAGCCCTCAAAGGTACACTTCTTCCCCCCCCCAAAACCCCAAACATGTTTGCTCTCTCACTGGCTGCACTAACTCGCACTCGCGCGCTACCGCACACGCACACGCACCACCGCACACATCAACCAAAGCGAGCATACATATGCCGCGCATGGGACTGCGCGGGTCGGATTGGTACGCGGCGGAGCGATCCATCCGGCGGTACCTCGTCTCGCACGGCGTTCCCACCTATGTGTACGCCACCCTGCGACCGCTCCACTTGATTGGGTGATTGCTCGCTCTTGCGCTTACCAATTTAATTCTTGTGATTGTGTCCAGATATTACTTCCGACGGAGCAGCGGTGGTCGGCGTGGCGGCGGCTCAGGTCCCTCGGCCGCGTCCTCGTCGCTGCCCTCGCTGCCGGCGTCTCAAGGCCCGCAGCTGATGCGATCCGCTTCGGCTTCGCAGCTCATCCCGCCAACTCCGCCCCCGACCCCAGCCTCCCTTCCCGCGTCAGGTACACTGCGCCGTGGGTCGTCGGTTCTGCCACATAGGTGCCTGATAGGGCGATCGCCCACCACACGCAACACAGAGCCGACCGAGGGCGTGGCGCGACCCAACAAGAAGCGGCGCATGATTGCTACGGAAGAAGACGAGCGAGAAGTGGCTGTCGACCGCATGTTGGTGCATGAGGAGGACGCTGACGGAAGCGCGGCTGGAGGCAGCAACGGCTCCGCACCCGCCAAGTTCCTCGCGGGGCTCCGATTCTATTTGCACCTGGTGGGAGCCGAGCAGCACGGTGCCCTCCGCGCGACCATCAAGCGGTACCGCCCGCCACTTCAAGCGTCATGCCCCCTGGTGCTCACACAGGGGAGCACGACACGCACACAGATGTGGCGGGCGCGTTTCTGGTAGGTTCAACAGTATGACCACGCACGTCCTGACGTCTACGCTGTTGGCTGCGGCTGAGGACGAAGCACTCCGCGTGGCCAGGGAGATCAACCCCCGCCTGCTCATCGTCACCGCCGATTGGCTCCGCAAGTGCATCCAGCGCAATCGCCTTCTCTCCACCAGCGCTGCATGAACACCCTCAGCAGGCTTGGTGGGTCCACTGACGGTGGACATGTTGCCCTAACACGGACCTTGTCGACAACCCAGTAGCGAACTTCTTCCCCAAGAGAACGGGGAAAGGCGAAAGTTGGAAGTTGCACCCTCTTGCGCTCCGCAGTTTCGGTGTTCCCCTTCCTTCTCTGTGGTCTCCCCTTCGCGTTCGTTCTCTTCGCTTTCGCCCCTCTCCTCTCTTTCTCTCTTCTTCTGTTGTTTGTTTTGTGCGGCTCGCGCCCGGGCTGCGAACAAACAAACGAACTGAACAGAAGCGCGGGTGGTAGTCTCCACTGGAGGGAGGAAAGATGAAGGGGAGTGTGGGAGAGGCGACGCCGCTGCTCGTTCACCCCAGCTCCGCGGGTGGGCTTGATGCCAAGAAACCGATTCGCGATTTAATCGTAATCTGTCTCGGTTTCTTCCTCATCTTCGTCGCATTCAGGTATATTATTTCTTATTATTTATTATTATTTATTATTCTCATTTTATTAATTTGAGAATGAGAATCAAAACTATTCATTGTTTCTTCTTTTCTCATTTTTTAATTTTTTTTGTGCAGCACCACGCAGAACCTTGTGAGCAGTCTCATTCCGGGCAAGCTCGGCACCGTGACGCTGGCCCTCCTCTACGTGGCCTTCTGCTTCTCTTCCCTCTTCATCAGGTACCTAACAAACTTCACCACCCTCACCACAACACTCAGCACTCTCTGACCCATGTGCACATGGGTCGTCAACCAGTTCATCGGCAACTGAACTCCTGACACCCAAGTGGGCGCTCGTCGCCGGTGCATCCACCTACTCCCTCTTCATCGCCGCCAACCTCAACCCAACCGCGTACAGTGCACGCACCACTTCCCTCCACCTCGAGCTTGGGCTGAATGTTTGTTGCTCGTGACGCTGACGACGACGACGATGATGACGTTGATGTGGATGTGGATGCACCAGGTGGACCCTCATTCCGGCGGCGGTGACGAGCGGGGTGGGGGCCGGCCTTCTGTGGACCGGCCAGGGCGCCTACCTGTCGAACGTGGCCGCCAACTACGCGCGGGCGATGAACCAACCGAAGAAGTCCGTCCTGGGCCTCTTCAACGGCATCTTCTTCGCGAGCATGCAGGTGCACACGATCGCGCACGCGACACACGGCACGACACACTAACTAACGACTTGTTGTTGTTGTTGTTGTTGGCGGTGCAGGCGTGCCAAGTGGTGGGTAATGTGATCGGGGTGGTGCTGCTCCTGACGGGCGAGACATCGAGCGTGGACGGGGTGACTGAGGAGGATGAGGACACCACTGAGTCGCCCGACCCGTCCGGCGGCACCGATGAAGCATCCCCGGGGTCGCCCTCCACGGCGCTGCTGTTCTACACGTTTCTGGGCATCTCCATCTCCGCGCTGTTCGTCCTCGCCGCGCTGGGTCACCAGCCGGGCGAGCGGGAGTGGGCGCGCCAGGCCCGCCAGCAGCGCCGCGAAGAGCAACAACAACTCCAAGGCAAGCAGCGCTCGGCAGCACACTACGACGAAAGCGACATCGACGTGCCCAAGCATAAGGAGATCACGCTCGGCGACGATGATGATGATGTTGGCGTCGACCTTGACGTTGATGTCGACGTCGACGTCGAGCCGCCCCTTTCCATGCGGACCGTGCTGGGCAAGGTGGGCAAGGTGTTCCGGCTGCTCACGGACCCGCGCATGTACCTGCTCAGCGTGAGCATCCTCTACCTGGGCCTGCAGGCCGGCTTCGTGGCGGCGGACATCACCAAGAGCATCATCCTGCCCACGCAGGGCCTGGCCGGCATCCCCATGGTGCTGATCTGCTTCTGCGTGTTCGACGGCCTCGCGTGCTTCGTGCTGGGCAAGCTCTCCGACAAGCTGGGCAAGATGATCTTCATCATCGTCGGCGTGTCGGTCCACCTCTCGTTCTACGCCTTCTTCCTCTACAAGTGCTGGTCGAGCGGCGATCACGAGTCCATCAAGGAGATCGACACCGTCGTGCTCTACATCGCCGCAGGTAAAAAAAAAGCAACGCTTCATCGACTCCACCTCGTCGTTCATTCATCTGATGTGTGTGTGTGTGTGTGGTGTGCGGTGTGTGCGCTGTGTGCGTGTGTGTGCCTGGGCGATCGTAGGTGTGTTTGGGATTGGAGATGCGTGCTACAATACGTTCAGCGCGGTGATTCTCGGGACGTTCTTCCTCGACAACACGGAGCCGGCGTTCTCGTGCCGACTCATCTTCAACTCGCTGGGCTTCGTGATCATCTTCATGCTCGGCCCCTTCGTCTCGCTCTTCATCAAGATGGCCTTCCTGACCGCGGTCCTCCTGCTCGGGGCCTTCCTGGTCGTGCTGCTCCATCTGACCGTCGCCTCCGTCAACGCCACCCCCAGCGACGACGACGATGCAGAAAACGACGACCTCGAGAAGAAGAAGAAGCAGCAGGAGCTCACTGCCTCGAAGCAGAACGAAAGCAGGAACTGGCGGAGCACGCGCGTCAAGCCGCCACTCTAACCCTCGACGCGTCACCCACCACACAATAATATTTATTGTAAAGACACTTATTTATTTGTTGGTTCTGAATGCAATACACGGCATTGCAACAATAGCAACATCAAGACCTAATCAGCTTGAGAGAGAAGAGTCGGTATGGCTTGAACTTGATGATGTTCAGTCGGCCTTCTTGCTGGTCGATTTCTTGGTCGACTTCTTTGCCTTGGACGAAGAGCCCCTGGTCGCGGGACGAGTAGCGAGCATGGCGGCGTTGACCTCGTGGAAGGCCGTCAGCAGGAGGCGGAGCGGCAACAAGAGCCACAGGGCGTTGGCGGCGACGAAGAACACCCAGAAGAAGATGACCTGTAGTGTTGGGGGGAAGGAGAGCAACAACTCGATCGATGAGCATTGAACAACGAGTGATGAAGGAGGGAGTGGAGAGGGAGAGATCACCTTGTCCTGTTCAAAGGTCATCTCAAAGTCGGTGGGGATGTGAGGGAAGCCCTCCCAGATCTCAGAGCCGGTGAAGACGATGGTGCCAAAGATCTGAATGGCGCAGACCTGATAGTGTGAAGACACACAAGAAGAAGATGTAAAGCCATCACACGTTTGGCGAAGAGAAGAAAGGAAGAGTGGTTACCACAAGCTCCAGCGGGGCTCTCCAGGACTTGTTGCGGTGGTAGCCGTAGTAGAGGAAGATGCAGAGCGGACCCATGATGAGCAGCTCGGTGATGGAGATCATCATCACCGCCGACTCGGCATGCTCATAGCGCCTGCAGCGCAAGCGGCCTTGAGGTAAGCGAGACTGACCTGTGTCTCCACACCCCCACGAGCAAGATGGCGCCAACCGAGACGGGCAGCGTACTTGTCCAGCGTGCAGTAGAGCGAGAAGAGGAACGGCACACGCCTGGCGAAGCCCACCAATCTGTGTGGTGCAGGCGCTTAGCTTTAGATCGCAATTCTCTGATTGTGAAAAGGCCAGAGGGAAACCTAAGTGTTGGCAGTAGGGTGCGCACCCATCGAGGAAAATGTGGATGATGATGCCGTTGAAGAGATACCAGAAGGCCACAAGGGAGTCCCTGAGCGAGAGGCGATGCGATTTGGGGAGCGATGCAGTGAGCACGAGGATGAGGAGTCCCAAGGGCACCATCACCACTGGATCTACATCATAGATGACCGAAGACAAGTCAATCACTCCTTCCTGCGTGGCCATCTTTGTTCGCGTCCTTTTGCGGTTCTGTGGGTCTCTTCCAAATGCATTACAAAAGCCACAAAAACTTTTCAAACTTTCCGAAATTTTTTATGTCGAGTAATCGGCGCAAGGAAATTTGAACGCCTTTACCAACTTGCGCGTAGTAAAGAGGAATCTGCTGTGACGGGCGGCAAGACGACGAGCGGGGCCAGGTACGGGTAAACATTTGCACCTTCGTCAAGCCACAGCCGGCTTTCAGGAATCATTATTCAAATGCTGGCTACCGTGCAGATGGAATCAACGGCGCAGGATGCTGGGCTGAGGAATCGAGTAATTGGCGAGGTGGATTCGTCAGAGGCGGTCTCCGAAGCCAACACTATGCTCAAATCACTCTACCTCGAGAGGATGCAGCGATCCTCAAGCCGAGATCAAACAGTACGGGCTCAGCCCCAGGCACCCAATTGGCAATTCATTCTGAGATTTTGTGCCCAACCATTAGAAAACGTTTCGCTTCGGCTCTACGGTCGACGTGGTGGTCAAAGAAACTGCTGGTACTTGTCGATCACCGCTCGTTCACGAGAGTGACATCGATCTCTGACGTCTGTTGCGGTGCAGGAATGGCGATGGGTTCGCACGTGTGGGCGGGAAGCAAGCACCTTACTGACTACATCATGAAGACATTTACTCCTCAAGATATGCACAAGGTTTGTTCCAAGGCCTCTAGTCGCCTTGCCCAGTTGGCTGACATGCTCCTTTCATTGGGGCAGCGAAAGATATTGGAGCTCGGAGCGGGCTGCGGCTTGACGTCCATGGCGCTGAAGAAGCACTTTGGCCCCGACACGAAGGTGGTGATTACCGAGAAGGCCGAGATGCTCCCCCGCATCCGCGAGAACCTCGAGCTCAACCAGATGCAGGAGGACGAGAACCTGGTCGTACAAGAGTTGAAGTGGTATGCACACCACCATACTCTTCAACCATGTGAAGCATACTCATATATGTGACTATGGCTCATCATGTTATTCAGGGGAGACAACTTGAGCCAGATCACGGAAACGTACGACTTCATCGTCGCTGCCGAGGTCGTGTTCGACGAACGGTACCAACCACACCCAATCTAAACTCGAGCAAGCTCAACCAAACCTGTTCAACATGGCGCTCATCAGCTCGACCTCTCGTCTGTTATCAGATTATTCAAGCCTTTGCTGGAGACGATCGTTGCCCTCAGTGGCTTCAACACAGTTTTGCTGCTCGCCTACACCGAGCGACATCGGAGCGAAGGTAAGCAAGCGCTGTTTGTTGGCAACATGTGCACACATGTCCGTCACATGCTAACGCTTCTTCACTTCAGGCGTCTTCTTCAAGCAACTTGGCGAGTTCTACTCGTCGACCAAGCTGCATCGAGTCCCGTGGTCGGGTCCGGCTTACACACCCACGCCTCCGCCGTCGTCATCCAACATCGTCTCCTTCTCGGCCCTGCCGCGAGCCACTTCCTCCACCTACCTCGCGCCGCAGATGCTGCAGAAGAACGTGGTACACCAGCAGAAGCGGAAAGATGCCAGCGGGCTCGAGCAGACGAGGGACATCGTCATCTTCAACATGAAGAGGAAGCGCTACTCAGTCGTTTCGCTGTACTCGTGAACTTCATTTTTGTAGACATAAACGTCGTTTTGGCGCGAAACCACAAGAACAAACGGCAACTCGATCAACTAGAAGAACCACATCTTCGAATTTACTCATCGCGATCACTGCATTCGCTCGTTCAGGAAGTATGGAACTTGCTGAAAGAAAGAGAATTGAATGTGGTAAGGAAGAAAACAAAGAAAACGATCGAGCATCAACGGCGGTGAACAACATGGCGACATCGTCGCGACCCGCGGCAGGCGCAAGGATGTGTCAGCCAATTTCTTCATGCGATCAGCGAAGCCGCGTGCCTCTCTCATGCGCTTCGCCTCCCCCGCGGCACTTGCCGATCCTCCCACAGAGGCTGCCCTCCTGAGCCAATCATCACGAAATCGCCCGTTGCCGTAGTCGAGATTGCTAGCGAGCCGACGAACATACAACAAAAGTCGGAGAGCAAGCATGAAGTCGAGGGAGATGAGGAGCAAATGGTGAGGGATTTGGATCGGACCGCGCACAAGGCCGCGCCTCGTACAGCGAAGCGGCTGCACAAGCCCAAGCGGGTGTCGGTCGATGACATGGACGTCGTCGCTGAAACGGCGGCGCCTAAGGTGGACCCAGAGGAACCGCCTCGACCCACCAAAAGGGTGGCCAAGCGAGCTCGGGCCATGCACGATGATGATAGCGAGGTATAGATGTCCATCCTCGTGCTTCGCTCTGCGCCTCTCTCTCATCCATTTCTACATGCACGCATTCGCGCACGATTATTGCAGGAGTTTGTGCCCGCGAGTGGCGGCAAAGGGGGAATGCGTGGTAAGAGGAAGGGCCGCAGCGACGACGAAAGCGACGTGCAGGAGAAGTGTGGAGGGAGGCCGACAGTGACGACGATGACGATGCACCTCGCCGGAAGCAAGCGAAGAGGCGACGCATCGAACCCAGCGAAGACGCTGAGCCAGCACCAGTTGGTTCGTCAATAGTTGATAGTCGCACAGCAGTTACTCGGGCAGGCGCGTTGACTCAACTTGATGGTCTATGCAGAGGCGAAGAGGAAGCGAGCGCCTGCCAAATCCAAGAAAGCCAAGGCGAAGGCGGAGGACGACGGCGACGGCGACAAGCAGCCTGTGAAGAAGTACGTCATGCACAACACTCGCGGTGGGCAAAATCTGGTCTGACCAGTGTGTCACTACAGGACGCGAACGCCAAAGGCTGGCGCGCGCACCAACACCAACGCCAACTACCAGCGGATCAATATCAAGGGCGGCTGGAAGAGTGGGGCTTCGTTCAAGAGTGGTCGCAAATGGGTCTCTGGGAAGAGGTACACATGCTACGCACATTTCTTGGGTAGATTGGTCATCGCGCAGCGCTGAATTACTGTGCGGATCGTTTGGTTTGGTTTGGATTGCAGAGCCGACTCGCGACAGGGCTACGGCGGCCGGAAGTGGAACGGGGGCGAAGACAATCCCTTCGACTATGCTTCGCTCTACGGCAACGATCAGGCGTTCAACTTTGGCGTCGACTCTGGTGCCGCCGCCGGAGCTCTTGCAGGTCCTCTTCCTCCATTCTCTTTCTCACGCACGCACGCACTCAATCACGTTCGTTGTACCTGCAGAGGATGAGTCGTTCCTCACCGCCGTGGATGATCTGGTCAAGGACCACGAAGAAAAGAAGGAGCGCGCGGAGATGTCGGTCGTCGCGCCCGAAGACATCACGTCGAAGAAGCTGCACGCCATACTCAAGAAGCACTTTGGCTTCAGCCGGTTCCGCGAGGGGCAGAAGAAGGCCATCAAGCGCATCCTCCGCAACAAGTCGACGCTGCTCATCATTCCCACGGGCGAGGGCAAGTCGCTGTGCTACCAGTTCGTGTCCTACTTCCGCCCCAACGAGCTGGTGGTCGTGGTGTCGCCGCTGCTCGCCCTGATGAAGGACCAGGAGAAGAACCTGCCGCCCTTCCTCAAGGACCAGGGCGTCTGCCTCAACAGCTCCATGAGCCTGTCCGAGCAGATCGAGGTCATCGACCGCATCAAGAAGAACGAGGTCAGGATCCTCTTCGTCTCCCCCGAGAAGGTTCGGTTTCCGCACATTATGGTCTTGCTTTCCTGCGTGCATCAAACTCACATTGTTGTTCCACCACTGCAACACACGGTGGCCTTGGCAGTTCACCAGCGAGAACTTCATCAAGCTCTGCCAAGGCTTCCCTGCAATCGCGTTTGTGTGCGTGGACGAGGTGCACTGCCTCTCTGAATGGTCGCACAACTTCAGGTTTGCACCCCAAGCCAACACAACCAGTCTTTCCTCAACAATGTCTGCCTCTTGTCCAAGACTAACACCAACAGGCTCTTGTGGTAATTGTCTCTTTTAATAACTCAAAACTAGAACGTCATACCTCCGGCTCAACTCGATTCTCAAGGAGCGGTTGGGTGTGCGATGCGTGCTCGGGCTGACCGCAACAGCCACACTCAAAGTCCAGGTACCGCAGCGCTTTCAGGTGTTCAGTGGCTCGTGTATGTGTACTTACGGTTATGCTATGCGTGCGTGTGTGCGTGTGTGCGTGTATCATCTGTGGCAGGAGAGTATTCGTAAGCTGCTCGAGGTGGAGCCCGAGGGCGTGATCCGCAGTTCGTCTATCATCCGTACCAACATCTGTCCGTCGGTCTCGGTGGCGGGCGATCGAGAGCGTGCGCTGGTCGAGCTCTTGAGGAGCCCCCGCTTCACCGACTCCAAGTCGATCGTGGTGTACTGCATGCTGCAGAAACAGGTACTACTCTTCGCACACCCAGAGTGGTATCCGCTCCAACGTTGCTCGTCGCGTTAACGCATCATTCGGTGCCGCTACAGACCGAAGCCGTCGCTGGGTTCCTCATCGGCGCAGGCTTCGACGCAGCGGCGTACCACGCCGGCAAACACCACGATGAGCGCACCCGCATGCAGAACCTCTTCTTCCAGAACAAGCTCCGAATCATCGTCGCCACCGGTAACCTTGCCACTACTGTTTCTCCACTCTGCTTTCTTCCTCCTTGTTTGCTCTTAGAGGCCCTGTGCTGCCCCGCACTCTGTGGCCGACAACACACAAACACACATGCAGTGGCGTTTGGCATGGGCATCAACAAGCCGGACATCGACGCCGTGGTCCATTTCTCCCTCCCCAAGAGCCTGGAGAACTACGTCCAGGAGATCGGGCGCGCTGGGCGAGACGGCCGCCAGGGTTCGCGCCCCCTCTCTACCAGCTGCATAATTAACCCTAGCCGCCATCGGGAGCTCACTTCACCTGGTGTGTCGTGTCGTGTCGTGTCGTGTCGTGTCGTGTCGTGTCGTGTCGTGTCGTGTCGTGTCGTGTCGTGTCGTGTCGTGTCGTGTCGTGTCGTGTCGTGTCGTGTCGCGTGTGTTGGTGTGTATCGGTGCAGCACACAGCCATCTCTTCCTTGCCGAAGACGATTTTGTGCGATTGCGCTCGCTGGCCTTCTCCGACTCGATCGATCCCTTCACAATCGCCTCCCTCTGTAAGAAGGTGTTCGTCAAGCAGGCCAAGGGCAGGCAGCAGCGACGGCAGTCGGAGGAGGAGGAGGAGGAGGCCAAGGACGACGGCTACCTGGTGGGACTCAAGGTGGAGGAGCTGGAGAAGGAGCTCGACGTGCGCCCGGAGGTGATCAGCACCATCCTCACCTACCTCGAACTAGAAGGTGCGCCCCTGAGCACTGGTGGGGGCTCACGGTGCCCACCGTGCGGTGAGAGTTTAAGAGCTCAACACTGTGATTGGGCGTGTAGGCTACATCCGGTTGATCTCGGAGAAGTGTCCAATAATCGCCAAGATCAACTTCTTCGACGCGCCGGGCAAGGTCGCGGCCAACAACAAACTAATGGCCGCCATACTCGACCACGCCACGTACGTAGCCATATTACACCACTCCACCCACCTGCTTGCTCGGTGTTGACCCAAGTTTCGCAACAGGAAGGGCCAGAACGGAGCGTACATGGTGGACTTAACTGCGGTGTTGAACGAAGACGACGATCGCCTCCGAGGGGCCACTATCTACGATGTACAGAACGAACTGCGTCGACTCAAGGTACTACCTCCTGGTACTCCGACTTTGGTGGCGTGATTGCGAGGGCGAGCAAATGCCCTCGGTCTCACGCCTCACGCGTAATTAGAACACTGGCGGCATGGGCTACGAGCTGCTGGACCCTGCCTTCTTGGCCAGAGTGCTACGCACGCCGGAGGACATCACTGCGCTGGCGCACCAGGGACACTCTCGCACGCGAGGTACAGGGCCTCACCACTGAGTTGCAGTCCTGTCTGTTTGCTTGCCTGGCTGCTCACTGGTGGGTTGCGTCGTCGCGTTTTTCCAGATCTGGAGCTGTCGCACGTCAGCAAGATCGAAGCCATCTATGAGACGATGAAGGGCGTAGCGCACGACTACTTACACGAGGTGTGCGCCGCTGACTACAAGGAAAAGACCAACCCTCGAGGTATTTTGGCCACATACGCGTGTGCGGTGGTGTGCGTGCGGGGGTATGGAACGCGCGGAAAGAATGATACGTTGGTTACCAAAAATGCAGGGAAGGATCTGCGCACGCTCACGGCCGAGTATTTCAACGACGACGCTACGAACGAGGGCTTCATTTTGCTCGCGGGCGAGAAGCCCAAGGTGAAGGAGGGCGAGCGCCCGATGGACGTCCTCTCCAAGACGCAGATCAACTACCTCCGCAGCGACATCAAAGTGTTTCTCAACCGGCACGGATCCGAGGTATAATAGAATTCCTACCCGTTCTCTGCTGCATTCCAACTGACGGCGGAACACCGCACACGCACACGCACACGCACAACCGCACACGCGTTAGGTGTCGACGGGACGTCAGCTGGCACGCATCTTTCACGGGCTGGCCAGCCCGTGCTTTCAGACGTGCGAATGGGAAGCGAGTCCGTTCTGGCGCAAACACCGTGAGGTTGACTTCAACTACCTACTCACCGCGGCGAACGAGGAGATCGTCGTCGCTCACGCCCAATCGCGACGAACTGCGCACCTGCCGGCAGACTAAGCGGCGACTACGTCGGAGTGCGAGTAGTTGCGGGCTTATCGTATGATTAGGTTGAGATTGTCGGGGAGCCACAAATACAGCTGAGCTACGTCATCGACACCAACCGGAGACCTAGACCGCGGAAAGTTGGTGGAGAACACACACCATCTCCAATGTAACTTGCCCTGTAATGGAATGCTGTCTTGAGCTTCGAAGTTCCACTAATGTGTCTCCAAGTTGACCTATCCTATTGGGTTCAGATGATCGGCTTATGGTTGGCCGTTGTGTAAGCAACGCATCGGATGAAGTTACACTGCATGTAGTCGTTGCCAACCACGGTCGAAAAAGGAAATAATGCCAATAATCAACTCGGTCACGTGCAGCGATGAGTGGCCCTCGACGTGTGAAGGCGCCACGGCCCGGGGAAGCAGCCGAGCTACAAACAGGCCAACTCCAGCACACGACGCTTCCGCTGTGCCTTCGGCTTCGGAAGTCTGAGCACTTTTTCTTCTGCACCTCGTCCACAACGCACGCCACAGCTCTCTGGGGGCTATTGTTCAACACAGGCTCAACGGTCAGCCCGCGACCAACAACAACCGGCTCAGTTTGTTCGCTTCACTCAGCTACCTGGAGTCATCTCTAAAGGTCGCACCACTCCAACGACTGCTCCATCCCACCACCACCATCACCATGCTTGTCTCCGGAGCCACTGCACTGGAGAAGGAACTCCTGGCCTGTCGGATCGTCTTCTGGTACGTACCTCGGTGTCCGCCGGATCTCCCCCTGCTTCCCGGGGGCGGCAACCGCATGGTGGTCGCTATGGCATTTTATTATATTTGTTGTACAATATTCCGCAGGTGATTTTGTACGGGCCTCATTGTGTGTGGCGTCCGTTGGCGGTTGTTTTCCAGGTTACGTGAGAACTATAGATTAGGGCGCAGCGGATCGTTGGCCAAGGAGGAGGTCTACGGAGACTATCTCAACTCCATGGAGCCGAACAAGACCGACCCCGTAATCGTTCCCACGTAAGCCCCCCAAGGTTGCGGTCAGGTTTACCACTTCTGGATCAAAACTCACCACTCGTTTTGGCACTCATTCAGCTACTTTGGTAAGCTCGTGAAGAAGGCATTCCCCTCGGTGCGTTGCAACCGCAAGGGGCCTCGGGGCAAGGCCAAGCAACACTACACCCACCTGCAGCGGGTCGACCACCAGCGGGAGGCCGAACGCCAACGATTCAACAGCTTCGCACTCACCGAGCAGGCCGCGCCTTCAGCCACTAAGCCCACCGCCACCACCTCGGCGAGCCTTGGAGGCCCCAAGCACGCACCATTCCAGAGCTACATATCGAGCGAGCTGAGTTATCTCAACTACCTCCTTAAGAAGGCGGACCCTGCCTCGACTGCCGGTAGGTCGGGCTCGGGCGACTACGACGGCTGGGTACTGTCCAAGCCCTCCGAGACCTCCAGCGCCCCCAATACGCGCGAGGGCCGCACAGACTCTCCCGCGGCCGGCGGAATGCCGCCAGCCATGGCCAGCGTGGGCGAAGCGGACGGAGACAAGCGCGACTGGGACTGGGTGTTTGTCCACAACAAGCCGCAGCCGAGGAAGAAGCACTCGCCGTCGGCGGCCAGAGCTGACCCGTGCACGGCGAAGAACTCCAATGCCCACAAGCGCGATCGGGATGCTCGCAGCGGTAGCGATGAAGACCCCGAAGAAGCCGAGGGAGCTGGTGCCAAGCGGAGGCGAGGCTATGCCGAGGAAGCCAACGGAGCTGACCGGAGAGAGGAGCAGAGGGCACAGCAGTCGGCGGTGACGAGGGAAGTGCGCAACGGAAGCGGCGTGTGGCGGAACGAATTGGCGGGAGAGCACCTCCAGCCTCAGAACTTCTTCACACAGTTCCACCACCGAACTCCTTCGCCGTCCAGTTCGCCCTCGACCTCACCGTGTTCTCCGTCTCCTTCACATTCGCCCTCATCATCTGCATTCCGCTCCACTTCTTCTTCTTCTTCCTCTTCATCTTCGCTCTACGTTCCCTCATCGGCGCTAGACCCTCATCTGCCTCTCCTGCCCGGCCCGCCGCAGGTCACAGCTCCATAGCGGTGGTGTCGCCGGCGGATATCCGAGACGGCGAGACCCAGTCGCCGCCGTGCCCCACCGGCTACATCAACAGCAACAGCAACGACCCGTCACAGAGCGGCCAGTACCTCGGCCTACCGTTCAACACCTCGTCGCCGTTCACCTGTTCGTCGTTCTCGTCGTCTTCGTTCTCGTCGACGACAGCGCTGTCGTGGCCCCAGAACCTGTCCACCACCTCGTCCTTCGCCGGCCCGTCGACCTCTTCGCTGCCTCAGCCCCCGTCGCTCGCCACCTGCTCGCCCGAATTCTCGGGCTCACCTTGCCCGCCAGAGTTCTTCGCCTCCTGGCACAGCCTCTCTTCCTCCTCTTCACCTGCGCTGCAGTCATCGTCAGCAGCGCTCCCGTCGGCCTCCTACCACTCGCAGCTCCTGTCCGACATCGAGCCCTACGACTACCATCAGCATCAGCATCAACAGCACCACCAGCATAGGTCACAGCAGGAACCGAGCTATCACTACAACTCGCACCAGCAGCACCAGCAGCACCAGCGTTGTGGTGAGGTGCCAGCTTACTACGGCCATAGCGGAGCTGTGTCGAACTACGCTCCGCTGCCGCCCAGGCCCATGTCGTCGGCGCCGATGTCCTACCACACGGGGACCTACCTGGACCCTCAGCCGACCCACACCAACCCTGTGCTACAGCACTCGCGGGCACTTTGCGGCGACGAAGCGGACCGAGGCTTTGCGCCCCTCAAGTTCGGCGGAGCCGGCACACCGGTCCCGGACCACCACCGCCTTCCGCCCGGCTACCCCAACCGCACCCCCTTTGGCAGCTACAACCCCCACTCCGCCTTCTCCCACTTTTCGTCTCACCCTTGATCTTACGGCCTCGTCTTCACCAGTGATGGTCAGGAAATCAAAACAACTTTTGTGTACTTCAATCTTGTTGGGGTTTGTTGGGGTTTGTTGAAGCGTCAAGAGAGGAGACAGGAGGACTGGCACTTGCGGTACACCCTCCGCGAGACAGTCTTGAGCTTGTCCCGAAGGACCTGGCGAGGGGTCTTGGCCCGCGCTTCCGAACCCGTTTCCGGGTGGAGAACGGCCCTTATGGCATCGCTGAACACTCGCTGGGGAGCGGGCGGTTGAGTTGTGTGTGGAAGCACCAATAAAAGAGGGCCGCGGGAGTACCTGGAGTCCTTCTTGAGTGAGCGCGGAGCACTCCAGGTAGCCGTCGGCCCCCAGCTCCTTGGCCAGGGCCTCGCCCTGCTCCCGTGTGACCGGCCGCATTCCCCTTTCGGCCAATCGACTCACGACTTCGGAATTACTGCGCGCACAAGCCACGCTCGCGTCACCAAATATCTGATTCACCAGAGTGGAGGGAGTAGAGCGCACCCCCGGAGGTCTGTCTTTAGTCCCACGACAAACCGGGGCACGCCTGGGCAGTGCTGCACCACCTCCGGGTTCCACTTGGATCGCAAGTTCTGTGTGCGGCGAAATGAGATTACTGTGAACACGCGCAAGCTGACACCACCCACCCACCCACCCCGGGGCGGGTGAGCTCAACCTCAAAGCTGGGCGGTGACACGACGGAGAAGCACAGCAGAAAGACGTCCGATTGCGGATAGCTCTGCGCCGACGCAACAGATGATGTTAGTTCAGGGTGGTGAACAGCGGTGATCTACTGGGGTAGGGAGTGCACCAGTGGACGTAGCCGGTCGTATTCCTCTTGGCCCGCGGTGTCCCAGAGGCCCAGGTAGATGACCTGTCCGTCCACCATCACGTTTGCGCTGTAATTATCGAAGATGGTAGGAATGTACTCGGCTGTGGGCCAAAAAAATGAATAGAGAAAGAGAAAGAGAAGACAATGAGAGTAGTGCAGCCTGGCCAGAGAACGAGGTTTAGCAACGCACAGGGGAAGGCGTTGGTGGTGTAGGAGATCAGCATGCAGGTCTTGCCCACGTTGCCATCGCCCACCACCACGCACTTGATGTTGCGCCATTGCAGGTGTGCCATCGGAGGTCTGCGGCACGGACCACAACGTCAATTCCAACCACGAAACGAAACGAGGCGAGTGTGGTGGGCGGCGAGGTACATTGTTGGTTACAGAGAAAGATAGAAGTTGGGAAGCAGGGATGGGCAAAATGCTGGTGGTGGAGCGGCCGACCACAGAGCAAGTGGGTGGAGGTGCGAAAATGATGCGGTGAATGACGGACTGATTGGGCGGATTCCAGGCGGACTTTCAGTAGACAGTTTCTGCCAATCAAACAATCCCAATTCCGCGAAGTGCAAGAGATAGGCCGAAATAAGTTGTCTTTGGTTGGCGAAGAGGCGCGAATGAATGGTGTAAACAAAGCCTGTGGGGATGTCACCGTCATAAAGGAAAGAGATGCATCAAAATGAAACATGGTACCACATCGGTGGGTGATGCGGCGTGTGTGCGGTTTGACTAACAAAATAAGGATGGAAATTGAATATGAGTATGGTGGTCCGCAGATGTCTACGGGCAGCGGGCCACGTTGATCTGGCCTCCACCTGAGCCGGTGAGCGACGAAGCCACCACCGAGCCCACGACCTGCGCCTTCTGGAGCGTCACCGATGCTGCCGGCGCCAGAAGGGTGCCTACAACAAACCGAATAGTGTGAGAAATGTGGGCGTTGGGTCTAGGGCAAGAGTGGTGGGGGTACCAGGGAAGAGAAAGTTCTCAATAACGACCCGATCTGCCGAACAGATGTTCCAGGTGATCAAGCCCTGTGGTATGGCGGCGGTATCGAAGAAGAAGTTGGAGAAGCGCGCGGTGCCGCTGCCCAACACGTTGATGATGACGGACTTGGTCACCGAGGCGTCGACGTTGGTGAGCCGCATGAAGCCTGTCCTCGCCAGTGTCGACACATCCACCGTGAATACCTGTATGCAGAGAGTTAGTCTCAATATCAAGCATCACAGGCCGCCAGGCAAACAGGTAGTAGCATTGGGTCAGCACCTCGGTCTCGAGGCCTGTGGCCCGCAGGCGCACGTCGCCGAAGATGGTCGTGTCGGCCGGGGTGGCATTGGTAAGAGCGCACAGCACAGCGCTCACGCCGGTAGGTTGGTCCGCACAGAGCTGAAGTCGATCGACACATTGCTCGCCTGCAACCACACCAACTCGTCAGCCACCAAATAAATGAAGCTAAAATGCCGGTAAAGCTGTGACAGTGAGCTGTACCACCACTCCGTTGCCTGGTTGGAAGCTCGGCGGACGAATGACGTCGCTCTGGTTGGCGACGAGAAGGTTTCCGCAGAAGAGGTGGGTGTCGACCGCGTTGACCGGACCGTTGACGATCAGGGTCGAGCCCTGGCTGGCCTGGTCCGTGCACGGTGAGTTCTGGAAGATGCCAAAGCCGCGAAGTCGAAGACCGCCGTTGACTGCAACCGCGCTCTCGAAGTCCCCGTTGACCAAGTCGACAGAGAAAGTGGTTGCATTGGAACTTCCGTCGGTTTCGTTGCCAAACACGAACGCGCTGAAGCCGGCCGCCACCCCCAGCAGCGGCTGCGGGCAGACCGAGGCCAACGGCGACGCTGTAGGCAGGGACGATGGGCCGGGCGTCGACAGGATGGGCGAGACCGAGGTCGAGGGCGATGAGGTGGGCGAAGGCGTGCGGGAGGGCGTGGGAGACGGGGTGGTGGAGGGGGTGGCCGAGAGCGATGGCGAAGGGGAGAGCGAGGGCGTCGAGGAGGCCGACGGGCTTCCTGAAGGAGAGGTAGAGGGTGTGAGAGAGGGCGAGGAGGAGGCGGACGCAGACGCAGACGGCGAGGTGGAGGGCGAGGCCGAGGGGGAGACGGAGATGGAAGCCGAAGGGGAGGGAGAGGGACAGGGCGATGAAGATGCCGACGCAGAGGGTGAAGATGAGGGCGACGGAGAGGTGGATGCTGAGGGCGACGCGGACGGGGAGCCCGAGAGCGAAGGCGACGGAAAGAGAGAAGGCGTGGAAGAGGGAGAAGGAGAGGCAGAGGGAGAGGCGGATTGGCTGGGAACGGGAATGGGAGAGAACGAGGCGCTGGCCGAAGGAGAGGAGGAGGAGCTGGAGGAGGGAGACGGGCTACCTGATGGGGACTCAGGCGGGGGTGACGACGACGCGCTGGGCGAGGGCGACGCCGACGCGGACTCGGACGGGACTGGCGAGGGCGAGGCCGAAGCTGAGGGCGAAGGCGACCGGGAAGGCACCATGCTCGAGGGCGAGGGCGACGGAGACTTCTGTTTTGGGCAGGAAGGCGACGGAGAGGGCGACGGTGACTTCTTCTTCGGGCACGACGGGGACGGCGAGGCCGAGGGCGACTCCTTGACCGGGCAGGTGGGCGACGGCGGCGTAGGGGACTCGGATGGACAAGCCTTCTCCTTGTTGGGCCGATGCTTGTATTCGTAGTCGTGGCTGTCGCTATCGTCCGAGCTGTAGTCGCCAGTGTCGTCGTAGTATTCGCTGTCGGGCCAGTCGACGTCTTGTCGTCTGCCGGCGTGGCACAAGGAGGCCAAGAGCAGCAGGCTCAGCACGACGGCCGTGCGTCGCCAGGCCGTTGTTGCTGGATTAGCCATGACCAGTGGTTTTTTGCGGGGTGTGGGCGAGGTTGTGGTTGTTCTTGGTTTGTGTTGGAGCGGTAGCACAAGATGAAGGAAATGGAGGCGGTTGCAGCTTCTTTCTGTGAGTCGTGGACGAATGGGTGCTAAGCAGTGCAACAACTCGTTTGTCCGAGGGCGTCCGGAAAACTCACGAGCTTCGCCACATCCGCCATAGGGCGGCACTTTATCCGGACTTCGCAGCCTTTTTTAAAGCGCCAGTTCCAATGCAGCACACTCCGGTCGAAATTTCGCCATTCAGCGAATAGGAACGTAGGCCCTCTCTTTCCTCTTTGTTTTCCCAAGTGTTGTCTGTACAGATGAAGTGGGGGTGATCTTCTTCGCCTTGATCTCGATCTCGTGGTCTCTCAATCTCTCCTTTTCTCCTCCTTCTTCTATTCTTCTCTTCTTCCCGCGCCTCACCAGTTCTGCTGTACAGACGAGGTGGAGCGCCTCCGCTTGTCCCGGTCGGCCGCCGACGCCCGAGTCACGGCCGGCTGTGGTGGCGTGGCCATGTTGGTGGGCGTGGTGGACCGAGCCAGCTGGATCGGCGGAAACCCCTGGGCCGACGGGGTCGGGTAGTAGCCGGCCGGGGAGGCGGGCGTCGAGCCCACGCCGGCGCGGGTGGGCATCACGGGCGAGCCCCCGACGGGCGGGTGGGGCGAGGTGAGCGTGGCCGAGGGCAGCTGTGACGAGAGCAGGTACTGCAGGAGCTGCTGTGACTGCTGGATGAGCTGGCTCTGCTTCTGCTTCTCCATGATCATCTCCATTTCAAGTTGCTGGCACCTATTCCAGTCGCCCAAGTGAGTGTCGAGTGCGTGTGTGCCGTGTCGGATTGCGGGCGGAGCATACCTGGACTTCCAGCTCAACAGCTCGTTGACGACGTTGATGATGGAGAGGTTGAGATAGTGCTCCATAGTGCTTCGGTCTTCCTGTGGCTGGTAGACGACTTCCTCCTCGGCCCCTCTGGCCTCGCCGCCCTCTGGCGTGTTTCGGTCGAAGATGCTGTAGCTGCCACCATCACCTCCAACTGCTCCTCCACTACGCCTCGTCTGTCGGGCCGACGTCAGGCCGTTGAGCGCTTTTTCCACTTCCCTTCTCTTGTCGGCCTCGTTCTCCCGTCTCTCCGTGGCGAATGAGACTTCTTTCTTCGCGCTGTATAGAGCCGCACACGTACACGCACCACCGCACACGCACGAGTGCAACTGTGAGCGGGAGCCTAAATTTTCTAGTGCGTTCTGCGTGCCATATAGTCGGGGCTACCTGTTGGGAGTGATATAGCCCGTCGGGGTCGCGTCGTCGGCCCTGAGCGAAAGACTGCCCGAGGTTACCTTGACCAGACCTGAATAGCTTGTTTCCAAACTCTCGTTACCAGACCGCCGCGAGCTAGAATTCCAACCGCGCGTGGTGTGGTTGAGAACTTCCATGTCGCAAATGCCAAAGAAAGAGCTTGTGTTGCAATATAGTACCTTATGGGCCTCTTGCGCATTCGTCCCGATTCCGTCATCGAGTTGAGCATTCTCTGCGCACACCACATTTTCATCAGTGCGCGTCTCGGCTTGTTGCAGGGTGTTATTATGGCAATGTATACCTCCTCATTCTCGGGGTCGATTGGCGACCGAGGCTCATCGGCTAAGAGGCCGACAGTGGCCCGCCGGTTGTCCTCCTTGGCCTTGTCGTACTCCTCGCGCCACGCGCTGCGGATGGGCAGGAACGGTGCTGGCGCGGAGGAGGAGTAGGGCGGGCAGAACTCGCTCGGCTGCAGCCGCGAGTCGTCGACCAGCATGCGCTGCGCGGGGAGGATCGTGGTCGCGGCCGATGGTGGCGACGACGTCGGCGACAGCTCGCCGCTGCTCGACAGAGACGAACTGTCCGTTGATGATAATATCGAGGTGTCTTCGTCATATTCGTGCCCTTCATCTGATCATACGTTGACCACACACACCAAAGTGACAGTGTTAGAATTAAACATATTTAATTACGGGGAATTGCAAGATCGTACCTGTGGCGGTGTATGTAGTCTCGCAGTCGGCTTCGATGATGCTGGGTTCCTCTTCTGGTTCGACCACGGAGGGCAACAGCTGTTGTTGTTGTTGTTCCTTCTCCTTCTCCTTTTGGTTGCCGATGTTCAGTTCATTCCGCACGTAGTGCACAATATTCGAGAGCACCTCCCTGGACATTCTCTTTCCCTAGCGAATTGGATTGTTGATTTCAATTAACGATTTGCATGTAAGTGACACGGCCACTCAGAAAAACACATGGAGAAGGTGTGCGGTTGGAGATGGGCGTGTGGCGAACCTTTCCTTCGTTGAGTTGTCTCGAGAGCCGTTTCGTGTCCTTTTGCATCTCTTCTGTCGGTGCGACCTCAGGGTTGGCCATGTCCGCAGAGACCTGAGGCTGTGCCATCTGCGCGCGATTCTCCGCCTGCGTGCCGAGAATGGGCCGATGAGAGCAAAGTCACGAATTAATTCTACGCGCACGCGTGCGGGAGGAGTACTATCAGAGCGGCCTTTCTTTGTCCTGGCTTTCTGGTATTGCTGCAGAAGCCTCGAGATCACCTCTTCGCTTCGCCTGCTGTCGTAGTCGTTGAAGAAGTCGTGCCGCAGTAATTCTCGGGCCGATGGTCGTTTCGTGGGGTCCTGAAATGTGTAACGCGAAGAAGAATCAGAACACCGACCACAGTGAAGTGCGGATGAGGTCCGCTACCTTCTGAAGGCATTGGCTAATGAAATCGAGGAAGGCGGGTGACCACTTGGAGGGATCCTGCACTGTCGGCGACGGCCGGTTGGCCAATAAATAGGCGGCCTGCATGTAGGAAAACCCCGGTACGTCAGTTACCAGTTCTCAAGGGGTAGAAACGATGACAACTGCAAATTGACGCCAATCATTGTTGTACCCGCATGGGCTCCTCTGTCGCATAAGGCGGCTGTCCGTCGGCCATCTCTATCACAGTTATCCCCAGCGACCTGAGCGCATCAGAAATGCGTTGTGTGTTGCGATTGTGAGAAGAAGTTGCGGACACAGCTGCAAAATCAAACGCGTACCATATGTCGGCGGCTTGGTTGAACGTCTCTCCCGCGTACACTTCGGGCGCTAGCCAGAGTGGCGAGGGAGTGATGCCCTGGGCCTTCATCAACGTTCGCATCCAGAGATACGGCATTCCGAAATCGGCTACAGTGGGTATGTTTGTGCGTGCGTGTGCGTGTGTGTGTGTGTGTGTGTCAAAGCGGAGCCACGCGAGTACGCCCCGAAGAAGGTGTGCAGCGGTACCTAGCTTGGCATCGCCGAGCTCGTTCATGAGTATATTGGAGCACTTGAGATCACGATGGGGCTGAAAGTTACGCCGTAACACATGAGCATACCGAGAGCGAGCGAATGATATGCGTGCAAGAAAGTGGAGAGTAACGCGTACAACTCCCATGGTGTGAAGATAGGCGAGACCGTGTAGGACCGACGTGATGATCGAAGCCAACTGAAGCTCCGAGAAACGAATTCCATACTTTTGCATTCCGGCTATACTGCCGACCGCACAGTACTCCATGATGATCTGAAAGAGTGGGTAGGGTCATGTTAGTTCATCGAGCCTCTGCTTCAGAACGACGGGAATCGAACAGCTTACCCACATAAAGTCTTCGTTGTAGAAGGTGCCGTAATAGCGGACCACGTTGGGATGGCGGGCGCGCTGCAGTAAGGAGACCTCGTTGGCTACTTGCGCCCTATATCCACCATGCTCATGTTAGCAGCCCTGACAGGGGCAGGACCTTAGATCAATTGCGGCGTGGTCAGGCATGAGCACAGTACACTGAGGTAGTTGCCGCTTCGCCTTGCCCGTGCATCAGCAGGATCTTCGACGCAATCTCGAAGCCGGTCTCCTTGACCGTGGCCTTATGCACCACGGCGTGCGGGCTGAAATGACAATATTAGAAACATCAAAGGTTAGGAAGGTGGTGATAGATGAGAGAATTCGGATTATGATGGTGGTGCTCACCTGTCGCCCAGTTTCCGACGCAGGGTGAAGAGGTCGTTGGGATCGCCGTTGTTGGTCGTTGAGTTGAGCGAGTGCGCGGGGAACACGCGCTTGTCCTCGCCCACCCGATTGTGCAGCTGCTCCGGAAGCGAGAAGCGCCACGTGCTCTTTCGCGAGTTCTCTGCGATGGGGAGAATGAGTAATGGACCAACAAGTTGGCTCATTGGGGGGAGTGCGCCAGCGCGCTGAGCGAGCGGGAAGGCGTACGAGTGCGGAAAGTCATCGAGGCCCGCTTGTTGGCCCCCATAGGCATGTTCTGGGCAGATGCAAGCGAAAGCGGGGCAGAGAGTGTCAGAGTAGAGTCGGTGTGCGGGTTGGCACAGAAAGAGTACCAGTACCCCCAAGGGGTCGGCCTCGAGCGAGGGAGAGTCCTTGGGCACCAGCTCACCCGACTTGCGATGGCGGAGGCCTTTCCGCTGCGTGGGGCTGGTGTCCGCTCTGCCGCGGTCTTCCGGCATGGTGTTGCTGTTTTCCGGTCGGCCCTTGGTTTTGAGCCTCGCCTTGGCGAACTTGGCCAACAGGCTCCCACCAATTCGTGCGCCCCTGCTGCGTTTGAGAGAGCAGTCGTCATGCAGTGAGTCTTAATCATCTATGCTTGATCAGAAGGGGGATCAGGAGGTGATTAGGTTTATACCTCTTCTCTTCCTCTTTTTCTCCTTCTCCTTCTCCTTCTCCGTGTTCGTGTTGAGTTCTCTATGCGAGCTGGAGCGACCGACCGAGCTGCTGCGTCGCGTCTGCGTCTGCGTCGATCTCTGCGACGAGCTCTGGAGAGGGGAGGGGGGGTAAATCATCATGAGAGATCGCACCCCAAGAGATTTATGCAGCTCCAACGTGTAAAGTCGGTAGTGGCGAGATGTGATCGTGGCGTTACCTTCGTCAACGACCAACGTTGTGGCTTCTCCTCCTGGTTCGACATCTTTATCCTCTTTCTCGTTACTCGCCTTCTTCCTCCTCTTCTTTTCGAATCCCAATCGCTGCTATTGTTTCGAATCGTTTCCAATGCTGGGCCAGAGAGAGCTGAGTACAAAGGCTTTCCTCTCTCCCACTTTCCTCTTACCTCTTCGTCGTGCCCCAGGGACTACCCTGTTTGTTTGACTTCTCTCTCACTTCCTCTCTGCCGACCCTCTGTTGTCACTGGCGCTCCCTCTTCTCGCCGGGTGTCGTTGCCTACCTGCGCGAACCGCTGCATTCCATACATATTTTTCCTTAAATAGCCGAGTGGTGGAATTTACGTACTCTAGTTGGTGGTGGACCACGACCTCAGGTCACCTGACCAGGCACACGACTACGGCGTCCATAGGTTCGCCCTGGCCGTGGCCGACGGCAACAGGCCACAGCCCAGCAACGCAGGTGCTGCGCCTCCTCACGGCCGTGGTGTTTGCTGAAGGCGGTGGTGAGGTGAGGCCACGGCTCACGCCTTTTCGAAGATGCAGAAGGTGTAGTGGTAGTTGGGGTCGGCGCTGGGTCGCTCGCTCACCAGGACGGGGAAATGAGCTCTCCAGTCGCTGGGAAAGAAGGTGTCGCCTTCCACCTCCGCATGCACCTGACCACCATCGTCGTTTATCACTGAGCAAGAAGGCTGGCCAACTTGGAGAAGCGACTGAGCATGAGGCTTACCCGAGTGAGGTAGAGGCGAGTGGCGATCGGCATGGCCTCTTCAAACACCTTCGCACCACCACACACTAGTATCTCCTTGTCTGGCACGGGTGTGGTGAGCCACATGCAAACAGCAACATCCTCGCGTTGCGTGGTACCTGTACTCTGGTCCTGCTCTGTACTAAAACGGAAGTCCTGCGCGAGCTGCAGTGCTTCAGGCAGCGATCGGGCCACCATGCACCGCCTCCCTCCGCTCTGAGGAAGGACGAACGACTACACTAAATGAAGTAATAGAAAGGATTTGTTCGAAATGTGTATATTGAAGGCACCTTCAGCGGCGAGGGCTGCCATTGCGGGTTTCGGGACAGGGCGATGGTGAGTGCAGCAGGGTGGTCGGCCTCGTAGAAGCAGTGGCGCCCTAAGATGATGATCTGGTCCCGCACCTTGCCAAGGTAGAAACGGAAATCTTCCGGTATACGCCATGGCAGAGCGCCCTTGCGGCCAATTACCCCATTTTCTGCCACTGCCGCTATCACGCTGACCCTCCTCGTCCCCTTCATCTTTTGACCAAAGATTTCTTTTTTATTTCTTTTAAAAAAGAATTAAGAAATGAGAAAGTGAAAAGAGAAGAAAGGAAAAGCGCTGGAAATCGGGAAGTAGTTGAAGAAAAAAAGCGGGAACAGGTGCAGCGAAGGCCAACGACAGAACGTAACGAGGTTGGAGAAGAAGGTGAGAAGAGCCGTCAGAAGGTGATCTTTGGTTGGTCGGGAGATTGACAAACACTCGCATCTGACGAGAATCAGACAGGCGCCTCCCCATTTCTCATCAATCACTGCAAGCGAAGCCGTCACCAATCTAAGTACAGCGGTTCGGACAGCGCCTCGAGATGAAGAGGGGACACTTTGCCAAGAGCCCCAAGGGGAAGGGCGGCAACTACCACAACAAGTCGGCCACTGGCGACAAGCGAAGGAAGAGCGGAGGCAGGGGAGGTGCATCGCCCTACGGTTCCGCTGCCCAGGGCGACGCTGTAGCGCCAAGGAGGAACCGCAGTCGATCGGGCGGCTTCCAGGAGTTCGGTAACTTCTTGTGGACCTACGATGCATCGACGAACCACTGGGTCGCGAGAGAGTCCGATTCTTCTCCCCCGCCCAGCTCTGCCGCCATCGACATCAGCAGCAGCAGTGGCCACTCGAAGGCTGCCCTCAGGGAGCTTAGCGAGTTCGGCCGCGAGTTCCCTGCGGCGCACAAGGGCAAGAAGGGCAGGGGCAACAACAGCGGAGGCGGAGGCGGTGGTCGCAAGGGCCAGCACCAGGGCTACAGCAAATCGAATCCGCAGTCGTCGATGGCGGATGATGACCTGGATGATGCCTCGGCAGCCGACCACGCCTTCGTCGGGTTCCGATCTTCTTCCTCTCCGCACTACAAATCCGCGTCGCCGGCGAGCGCGTCGGGATCCAGCTTCATGATGCGCTTCGTCAAGGGGGAGACCATGAACGACGAGCGCGAGAAGCACGCAGACGACGACGAGGCGGCACCACCGGTGGCGGTCAAGATCGAAGTCATGCAAGAGGTGAAGCTCGAGGTGGAGGTTAAGTTGGAGCAGCCGCCGGAGCGAGACGTCAGCAGCCACGCACGCCCGGTGCGCTGGCAGAGCGAGCCGGCCATCCCCAAGTACACGCCGGTCGTCTCCCCGTCGCGCGCACTTGGCATGCCCTCGGCGACCACCCCGCAGGAGGCCTTCAGCGGACGTGGCCGAGGGCGCGGCCGCGGTCGCGGTCGCGGCGCGGCTGTGACCAACTCGCCAACTTCGCCGGCCGACTTCCACTGGACCTACACCGAGAAGACGCTCAACGCCGCCGCCGCCGCGGACACTGCGCTGGAGGAGGCCAATGCGGCCATCTTGGGCGTCGTGATCAAGCGGGAGCAAGAAGACGTGGTCGTGGTCGAACCGGACAACGGCGGCATGGCCATTGCGATGTCGACCGCTACCACTGCCACCACGACCGCCGCCGTGCCTGCCCAGGGCAAGCCTGGTGCGCACCAGCGAAACAACGATAAGCAGGCGAAGAAGAACAACAAGAAGAGCAAGAAGTGGGAGGAGAAGCAGCTGAGGAACAGGACCAGGATCGGGCTCGAGCCTATGGAGAGCGACTCTGCGCTGTTCACCACCCGCGATCTGGTGCGCGCCAAGTTGCAGACCGGCGCCTACGACAAGACGGACCAGCGCAACAAGAGCTCCGAGGACGACGAGGAGAACGCGCAGGCCGATGAGGACTTCCTGTTTGGCAGAGGCGGTCGCGAGATGCGCAGGGGAGCGCCAGTCAAGGGCAAGATGCCGGGCAAGGGTACTTCATTTCTCGTTTCGCTGCTGTGGTGGAGTGTCGCGCTTATGTTCACCCATTTCCCTGGGCCTTTGGTATCCATTAGGCAAGAAGCAGCAGAAGAAGGCCAAGAAGGGGTTCGTGTACGACATGGATGACGAAGACAGCGAGGACGACGGAATGGTGCTCGACGAAGAACTCATCCGCGACTACATGCTCAACACCGAACTCGATGATCTGAACCTGGATGTACTTATCTCCACCAAGCCCTTGAGTGCCTGTGGTTGGCTTAGGGGAAGCCTAATAACTCGTTGCTCCACAGGAGGACGCCATGGAGGAACACCTTTTGCTTCACATCGTATCGCAACTCAATGACTATCATCTGTCGGACGATGATGACGACGACGATGACGACGACGAAGAGGAGGAGGGCGACGAGGATGATGACAGCGAGGAAGGCAGTGACGAGGAGGAAAGCGATGAAGACGACAGCGAGGAGGACATCTACGATGAATATGGTGACGATGAAAAAGAAGAGGAGAAGGAGCTGGCCAAGAAGCTCATGGAGAAGGCCGGGGCTAAGGCCAAGAAGACAAAGAAGACGCCGCTGGGCCTTGCAGCCTGGGACGATGCAGAGACTGGTACGTTCGCCACCGTATTGGTCGCGTCGCGTTCGTGGGGCCTAACATCGGTTTGTGGCTGCAGCCGTGGTCGATGCGGCAGTCGACGATGAGACCTTCGATGCTGTGCTCAACGCCGACTTCACCCTCTTGCGTTCTGACCGGCCTCCAAGTATGACACCTCCCCTCCCGCGTGCGCTGCAGTTCCCTTTTCTGTCCGTTGCTCGTCTCTGTGGCTCTTTGTGTGTCCCAAATCTGTGTCGCGTACGTGTGAATTTCGCGTTGCTGATTTATTATTCCGTTTGCGAAGAACGAAAGCGAAAAGTGAGATAGCATGAATAACGAAACGATGAGAGAGTGATGATGTCGTTTTTTCGCATGCACGCACGACTGCCCCACGCGCGGGCGAGAGGGTTGACAGAAAGTGGGAGGTGGTGTGCAAGCAAAGGCTTCACACGGAGGGAGCGAGGGTCTGTGTGAACGCGCGCAGCTGAAGCTTTAAGAGCCAAAAGGCCTAGCGTTCATGCTTTACGCGTGCACGCCATGACCCGCACCCTACCCTATCCCTCACCTCTTCCGCTCCCCCGTGCGCGCTGGTCGATCCGCTCGTCGACGACGCACAGGCTTCAACCAAAGGCTGCAGAAGGCGGGCGGAGGAAAATGGGCCAGCCGGGATGAACAGCGGGGATCGCCCTACCAGCGAGGCAACAAAAACAACAACAAGAAGTGGAAGACGCCGGAAAAGGGCGGAAAGGGGCGGTACACCAAGAAGGGCAAGTGGTACGATCAGGAGTTCAACGAGGAGACCATCACCGATGAAGAGGTACGCAACGCAACCTGCCTCACGCGCACCACATCAGCGAAACCTGAAACCTGAATATTTTCTTTTTGTGTTTCTCCAGGAACTGCCCTACATTGATCGCACGCCGCTCAAGGGCCAGCCGCGCACCCCGAACGGCATGGTCACCGTCCACTCTATCAACGAATCCATCCGCAACTTCATCGCTAACGATGACAAGGAATGGTGCGTACCCAATGCTCTTTGAACTCGCGCTACACTCTCGGGCAGTGGACGAAATGTTTACTCACTTCATGTCCTTCGGTCGCTGTCTCAGGCTTGAACTTCCGCCGATGAACAAGAAGCAGCGCGTGATGGTCCACCAGCTCTCCCAGCTGTATCACCTCCAGAGCAAGAGCTATGGGATGGGTATGCTTTCCCCGGGCTTGTCCCCCCCACATCGATATGCTCATGCACATGCTCTCTGTAGGACGTCACCGGTTCCCCACCCTCGTCAAGACGGTCTATTCCTGCTATCCTCCTCAAGCCGAGCTGCTTGAATTCCTCAATCGCGCTGCCAAGGTACCTGCACTAGCGACCACTGTGCCTGACCTCCGAGGTCCCTGGTCGCAATTCCTCACGCTCGTTCGTTTGTGTGTAGATTAAGGCCGCCAACGGCGCACCAGCGCCGAAGAAGAAGCTCTCGAAGGAGGAGAACAAGCAACTGCGGAAGCTGAAGAACATGAGAAAGCGCGACGGCGTACGCTTTCTTGCCTCTTGTGCTAACGTAGAATTGGCTTGGTCCTTGTTGGTGTTCGCTCACATTCGATGGCTTGTGCAGGGCAAGGAAACCTTTGTGTCAACCAAGCGCGAGATGGACGGCAAGGTGGTGGGCGAGGGCGCCGTTCCCCTGGGTCAGGAGACCATCGGCGCGCGTCTCCTTCTCTCCATGGGCTGGAGTGGAGGCGGCCTCGTTGGTACGCACTCGCTTTCTCGTCTTGTCCTCCTCACACCTTTATCCGCCGCTCACCACGATCATGCTTCGTGTCAATCAAATTTTGTAGGCACCAACGGAGAGGGCATCGCGGAGCCGCTCATGGCCATCGTGAAGAACAACCGGAAGGGCCTGGGCTTCTGATGAGGAGACCTGTACATTCAACTGGCCGTACATAGAAAACAGAGCTTTGAATGTAGCTTGCCCTCTTCTTTTCTTCCTGTTCACGCCTCTGGTTTTTATTTCTCTTCTTTTCCTTCGTTCTTTTTTCGTTGGTTCAGCAAAGACAGGACTGACCCACAATAGACGTACAGCTGTGCGAGTAGAAGAAGGGGAGGAGACACATAGGAAAGGTACTAATAATCCATTGCATTTCGTCTTTGGTTCATAGTCTACATCACTTAAAGTGGTGGCCTGCTCGTCCCTCCATTCCGAGGGGCTGAGCGGTTCCCAACAACTCAACAACAAACCTTCCACCAGTTGATGTCACCAACAACTCATCACCATCAAACAAAAGAATTGGGTGTCGTTGGTGACCACAATAAATGTGGGCCACGTGGTGCGTCACAGCTTGGCGGAGTTGGCGGGTGAGGTTATGAAGGAGTAGTCACGCTCCACGCGGGCGATGCGAGTTGTGAAGGCCTGGTACCACTTGGCGCGTCCGTGCTGCTGGGCCAGGCGGTGCTCGCCTACGGCTTTCCACGCGCCTATCGAGGCGAGGTCGCGCCAGTAGGAGACCGTCACGCCCAGGCCGTGGACGCCGCCCTCCCGCACGCTCTCCACGCCCAGGAAGCCCGGCTGCTGTCGTGCGAGCTCGACCATGCGGTCGGCGGTGACCGCGTAGCCTTGCGGGTCTTGGTCGCTGCGCACGGAGGTGAACACCACGGCATAGTACGGTGGCTCCGGCGTGTTGGCAATGCCACCTTCCTGCTGTGTCTTGTCCATTTTACTTTGGCAATGAATTAATGAATAAAAGATAAGGAAAAATAAACAAGAAATGCCACGGAATTGGAGCTGGATTCCAAGAACAAATTCTAAATTATACTGGCCGAGATCAACACGAGGGGAGGGAATCTGCGACAGGCGAAGAGGATGGCGCAGTTCAGGTGAATAACATACCTCCTGCTCCACCGTGCCGGCATGGCTACTGACAACTCGGGTTTTAGGCAGGGGCAGCGACCTCTGGGCATGCAGAATTCATCCAAACGGAGCGTAAATTCCACAATAAATCATCAACAGCAGCAACAGATCCCTGGCCAGCGACTACCAGTACGACCACCCGCCCATTAAAACGCACAAAATTCAAATTGATTAAAATCAACACGGTGCCAGAATTGACAACTCTCTTCCCCCTGGCAGCAGCGTGGCCAACCTGCAACAAGCACCCTTGCTGCCGCTCCCTCGAGTTCGCAGGACCTGTCGTCGTCACCCTTCAAGAAGCTCAAGACATCACACGGTCCAGCGGCTGCGGTTGGGGCAGCAGCGGGCCAGAGCACCAGCTACGCCACATCGGCCGGTACCTCCTCTCGTCCGCTGTCGCAGAAGTCCGTCACCGCGGTGGCGGCGCCTGGACGCCCCGCCGTGCGTGAGAGCAAGCCATGGAAGACGCCACAGTGGATGCAGGCCCAGAGTGCTGCCACTACGCCCAAGCGGCGGAGCACCGGTGGACGCCAGTCGAACTACTACGAGGGGTACTTCCAACCCAAGCAAACCGGTGGCGCGGCTGGCGGGGTGGGCAACCAACTGCTCTTCTCCACGTCGACGTCGACCACAACCACCGCTTCGTCGACAACACATCATCATCACCAACAGCAGCAGCACCAAGGCTTTCCCTCACATGGGCCATCCACCTATCGCGGCGGCGGACATCAGCCTCTACCCATGCAGACCGCTGCCACTCGTGGCGGATTGAGGCCGGCCGCTCCAACATCTTCGACGACCTATCGGCCCAACCCAATCACCAGCCGCACGATACCCGCTGCTGCGTCAACGTCGCTGCACACCAACAGACCCACGACGGCGGCTCCGCCCAATGGCTACGCGCCCAAGCCCATCGGCGCCGCTGCGGTTGTCACGTGCGACCTCACCAACGACTCGGAGGACGATCAGAGCGACGGCTTCATGCTCAAGAGCCTCGACTTCCGCGGCACCCAGAGCGCCGTCGATGCGCCCACGAAGAGCCGCCAACAGGGCGCCAGCGCGGCGGGAACGGAGATGGACGCGTTTGCCGAAGACGCCTACGCGTTCGCACTGGCGCTGGGCGAGGAGGAGGAGAAGGCGAGGCAAGTGCAGGCCGAGTCTTATCGCCCAGTCCCGCTCGGGACCACCACGACCGCGCGAAGCTCCTACCAGCCCCCACCACCTGCCAACAACACTACGACCAAACCGTCATCATCGCTAGCGCCTGTGGGACGCGGACGAGGGGCCGCGCGTCAGAACGTCCGAAATCCACCACCTCAGCCTTCCAGCCACGCTACCGCCACAGTAAAGGAGACCAAGCCGGCGTATGCCCCGTGGCAACCGCAGCAGCAAAAGCAGGGCAACAAAGAGGCGCCGATTCTGCTGGTCGACGAGAGCGAAGCACAAGCGGATGCTCCCAAGGTGGCCTACGATCCGATGAAGCACGAGAGCAGCAACAGCGAGAGCTACGACGACGACAGCGGGTGGCTGTACGATGCCATCGTCGCCGAGTCAGACATAGCGGGCAAGGGCGTTGAGGACACGGGAGAAAACGACAAAAAGCGGAAACGCGGGAACGGCTACGACGGTGCGGACAAACCGCGGACGCCCTCGCGGAGCGGAGGACACAGCAAGAAGGACTACGCCGTGCCCACGGACGAGCCCAGCTCGACCGTGTTCTCCTCCGGCGGCGATTCGCTGTTGGCAGTGCCGCAGACCAACCCCGACCCCGGGCCATCGCTACCGGTGGCAGCCGGTGCGGTGAACGTACAACGCGAACCCGACGGCGGCCCGATCGTGTTGGATGGCGGGCTCTTGGACGACCTCATCCTCGTTCAAGCCCTGGAGCAGCACGAAGGCGGCAAGCAAGCGCGAAAAGATGAGTCTCTTCCCGAAGTCGCTGCAGTCCCTTCGTCATCGACGTTCTCAGAAGGTTAGTAGCAGCCAGCCCTCGGCTCACTTCCTGCCTGCGCTCTCTCACGCCCTCACCCATGTGTCTACCACTGTTGTTGCCTTGGCCCAGGTGATGACGTACTGAGCATCAACCCCTTGGCGTCGACCGGATTCAGCGTCCCCGAACACGTTCCATCTTCTTTCTCCTCTTCCTCATCGGCGGGCAGTGTGCCCCAAGTGCCCGCTTTCGATGTGCGAGGTACGCCCGAAAAACATTCACCCTTTGGGGCCTTCGTTTCTTTTTCTGACGCACCCTTTCTTCGGCCAGGCCAAGCGCCAGCGGACGATGTGGCGCGGGTCAAGCAAGAGAACTACCAGCTCGCGCAGGCAAAGGTCTATGAGCCTCGATGGTGTCACTTTGCACCGAACCGCTGCTGATTCGCAACTTTTATTCTTACCAGATCCGAGCTGAAGAGGAGAAGGAGCGGCTGGAGCGTGAGCTCATGGCCATGCGACGGCAGATGCAGCAGATGAAAGCCGAGCAGGAGGCCAGTATCGAGCATCTCAAGAAGAACGTCAAGTCTGTACGGTTCCCGTGCTTCCTTTTCTGCATCATCTCCATAGGAGCTTGACGTGTGTGTCGTGTGTGTGTGTCGCGTGTCTGTCGTGTGTGTTGCTCTCTCCATGTAGGCCACGGCGAGCCGGGCGACACTCGAGGAGAAAAACACGACCCTGAACCAACGACTAGTGCAGGACAGCAGGTCGCTGCAACGACAAATCACCACTCTGAGCGATCAGCTGGCCTTCAAGGACAGGGAGCTGGCAGGGGCCGAAGAGACCAAGCGGCGGCTACTCGCCGAGCTCGAGGAGGAGCGGAAGCGGAAGCTACTGCCCACTCGTCCCGCGGCAGCCGACGACGACGAACGCCTCAAGACGCTGGCCGTCAGCAGGCGCGAGAAGCGGTCCTCGACTTCGGGCGCTTCGCGAGAGGCCGAGGAGCGTGCCAACAGGGAGGCCAAGCTTCAGTCCACCGGCCTTGCCCCTCTGGTTCGCATGGTGCGTACACGCCCAGCAGCGAGCAGCACTTTCACCTTTTCCCTGCTTAAGCTAACAACACTGGCCGGTCATTTTTCCGACAGTCGGAAGTGGGCATTTTGCATCACTTGCTGGACGAGAACATGTCAGGCCACCTCTTCACGCTGCTGGGCAGCAACACGGCCAATTCGACCTCGCTTGCGCAGGCCAACGCTGACGTGGCGTCTACCGAATCATCCGCCAGCGGTACACTCTATTTATTTATATTATTTATTATTTGCCGCTGGCGGATGATTGCATATTATTATTATTATTATTATTATTTGCAGTTTCTATGTTCACGCACAGTGCTCACGTCTGTTTGTTCGTGGTGGCTTCTCTCCAGCGGTGCTGCTTCTGTTTAGGAACCACTCGTCTCAGTCGCTTCGAGAGTCGCAGACCGAGAGCGAGCGTACCGAGATGCAGGACAAGCGGCGCAAGTTGGCGCAAGAGCTGCGGCTGACCATCGCCAAGGTGCTCCACGAGCGGGCGTCGCTCGCCACCATGCTGCCTCTCCTCTCCGACTTCATCGTGCTCGTCAAGAAGCGCACGGCGTCCAGCGGCGGCGCTCTTCCGCACCACCACAAGGCCAAGGAGCGAAGCGAATTGTCGACATCCACGTCAGCAGCGGCGGCCAGCCCCGCTGAGGACTCGGCGGCCATGTCGCTTCTCTTCTCGGCGCTCAGCGTGCTGCACGTGCTGGTCGATGGGTCGGAGCGGTGCCGGAGGGCCATTCTGTGGGACGACAAGGACGAGCTAGAGGAGCGCGAGCGGCGCAAGAACGAGTCCGCCGCAAACCAGGGCAAGAGCGTGGCTGCTGCTGCCGCCGTCGCGCCGCTGCCGCCGCCGGTCAAGATCGAGGTTAACGGCGAAGAGCCGACGCACGGCGGTGGGATGGCGCCGCACAGCCACCTGCGCAGCTCGCGTATTTTGGTCGGCAGGCCCTCGATGACCGGCGGTGGGATGGTCGACAAGATGGAGGTCGAGGGCAAGGCCAAGGACAAGGGCAAGGAGAAGATGGATGTGGAGGACGACGAGCAGGCGGCAGCGGCGCGCGAGGCCCTCAGGCGGACGCGGTCGCTGGCGTCGCTCTTCCTGCTGGGGAAGGACAGCGAGCTCGACGATGACGACGATGACTACGGTGACGCGTGCGGTGAGGGCGAGCAGGACTTCTTCGCCATGCTAGCCCAGCACGACGCACAGCACGGCGGAGGCGAGACCTCTGTGAACGCCGCCGAGGACCGATTCCAACTGCTTCCGCCCTATCTCGACGTCATCCGCGGGCGACAGAGCACCGCCGCCGTCGCCGCCAACGGCCAAAGCTCGCGCGGCGATGGCGCTGCCAGCACGACGACAACTTCGACGTTGTCGGCGAGGGAGAGGCGACAGCAGGCCAAGATCAAGAGCCGCGCCCACGTCCACGTGCCCAAGCTGCTCGGGCTGCTGATCAATCGGGTCCTCAAGCGGAGGGAGATATCGCTGGGCAAGCACGGAGAGATCATCTGCAAGACCCTCCAGGTCCTCAACACGCTCGCCTGGCACTGCCCGTCTCACCTTCTCCACAAGTACCGCCCGCTCTTCCCCTTTACTCCATTTTATTTTATCATTGTTTTATGTACGTAAATGATTGGTTTGTGTTTATTGCTACGACCAATTGGTGTCAAGCTAAATAACACCCATGTCGGCCAGGTTTGAGCCGTTGTTCACGACCAACCTGTTGTTCTCGTTTCTGGGCCGCACGACCTCGTTGCCCATCAAGGAGCTCACCGTCGACATCCTTCTCAATCTTTTCCGAAGTACGTGCCGCTGGTGTGGTGTGTTCCATGGACGCAGCTAACCGTAACTGTGTGCGCGTGTTGTGTGTGTGTGTGTGTGGTGTGTGTGCGCGTGTTGTGTGTGTGGTGTGTGGTGTGTGTGGTGTGTGTGACACGATCATCAGTTCCTTCATATCTGCCTATGTTGAAGAAGACGGCGAATGGAGGCCTCACACTGCTGGACAGGGCCATCAAGTACCTCGGCGCCGAGCACTACGACCCTGCCGAGGTATGGCGCGCCACGATGTCCGATCCATACCTTGACTCGAGAACCGTTGTCACTCACCCACCCATCCCATCCCATCTCATCCCTGGCCGGCTCTCTCGGCTTCGCAGATTCGGCGCCTGCGCTGCAAGGTCATCCGTCTCGTTTCGCTCGTCGAGATGAAGTACAAGGACGTCAGCTTCGAAGTGCTGCACTCCAAGAAGGAGAAGGTGCGTGGTGTGGTCTTGCGTGTGCGCCCCATTTGGGTTGATGAGGGGGAGCTAACCTCTTCCCCCCTCCGCACCCCACACAATCTGACTGACCACTCCCTCCAGGCAACAAACCTGTTCGTGTCCCTGGGCGTGTCCCTGTGCGCCGAGGTGGAAGCTTTGCAGAATCTCCCACACACCGACCCAAGGTCTGACCCTTTTCTTCATTCTTCATTCCACCAATAATGTGCCTCGCTTGCGAGTGTTCACCCACTCACTCACTGCCTTGTGTGCTGGCCACTCGCGATCCAGTGCGGGGATCAGTGCCAGCCTCATTCGCGATATCGTGAACCTGCTCCTGCTCCTGCTCAACCACCTGGGGAGCGATACCGCCGTCAGCCACGCCACTCCCGCTTTGGTTCGTCAGATCTTTTCTTTGCTGCTCTCTTTGTTGCTTGTTTGCGTTTTGCCTGGTCACTCACAACGTACAACACAGCACTATTATCATCGGGCGACGAATCTGCTGGCCTCGCAGGCCGTGCACGGGCTGGTGGCCGACCTGGCGACCTCCGCAGCCCACGTCCACGCCTCCATATTCAGGGAGCACACCGCCGAGAGCGCCGAGGAGGGCGCTGTGGGCGACTGAGGAGCCACTTACAGTTGGAGTTAGTTCACTACTTTATTCTTCTTAATTATAACGGTTGCACCGCAATTGGTAGTTCGATTCACACTTGTGAAGAACAACGCGAGGCCGACACGAACCAGTTCATTCGCGTACGCCAAGAAGCAGAAGGAAGAAGGGATGGGATCGCCGTTGAAGAAGCAGTTCAACTACAGTTCGTCGGACCTGCCTTGTGCCGGGTGTCAGGAGTTCTTTGTGGAGACCGACGCCGTCGTGCCCTGGGGCTCCAAGGAGAAGCGATGGCATCACCAATGCTTCGGTTCACCCCCCCTCTCCCCCTACCAACACCTCATGGTCTGACCTTCCCCCCACCGTGTTTAGTGTGCAAGGGCTGCTCGGCCAAGTTCGAGCTGAAGGAGGACAAGTGGATGCACCCGTCGGGCATCGCTGAGTCGGCGGCTGGTTTTCCGCACTGCGGCGACTGCTATCACCGCCTGCTCTCGGTCAGCTGCGACCGATGCAAGCAGCCCATCGCCGGTGCGCGTTTGTTGTAGGCCGCTACAAGCCTCTCTTTTCGGTTTGGCGGTGGTGGGTGGTGGGTGGTGGGTGGTGACGACGATGTTGGTACCTCCGGCACACACCAACAACGCGCAGGAGCGTACGTGGACCTGTTCGGGCGCAAGTTTCACGAGGAGTGCTTCTGCTGCGACGGATGCGGAGAGAGATTGACGAGCGGCTTCGTCAAGCGCCCGGCGGACAAGAAGGCGCTCTGCAGGTGCGTCGTCGGCACGCGCTGCACCTGCTCAGCGCACGCTTGTGGTCCTATTCTCTAACAAGACACGACATTTGGGGGACACACACAACACACACAGGAAATGCGTAGGCAAGCAGGCGGCGGGTGGGTTCGTGATCGATCCGCGCACCGGACAGAAGAAGTTCGCCACCTGAAGAGTGGCCACCCCTCTATTGTCATTATAATGACGACGATGTACATACGACAAGGTCTTGGGCACGAAACGTTTGGGGGGGGGGCAATCACATGACGTCCGAGGTCTGGTACTCGCCAAAGAAGTTGCCTAGAGCCACATCAAGCCAAGCCAAGGTGAGCACAGACACACACACAGACACGACTGCACGCGCGGTGTTGGTAGTGAGGGAAGGGCGGGGGGCTTGGTGGTGCGCACCGTGGAAGCCAAAGGGGATGTGGTGGGGCACCTGCGCCCGCGCCAGCTCGCTCATGTCCTTGGCATTGAGCACCAGCAGATAGCTCGTCGCCGTCTCCCCATTCAGCACAATGCTAATCGAGCACACGCACACGCGCACACGCGCACATCGCACACGCACACGCGCACATCGCACACGCACGGTGAGCGAAGTGGTGGCCGGTGGTGGTAGGGAGTAGTACCTGAGCAGGATGCCGTCGTCCTCGTCCTCGCCGTCCGGGGTGGCGAGGAAGATGGGCTCGGCCGGGAAGTGGCCCTCGACTTCCCACACCCACCGCTCGCCCGAGCGCACGTCGACCTTGACCAGGCGGTCGAAGAACTGGCCGGCGTCGCCCTCGCGCGCCGACAAGCCGTAGGCGAAGGCGTAGGGCTTCATGTGGTGGCGCGGGTTGATGCGGGGCAGCTCGATCGTGTGGTCGTAGATGACGCGCTTCATGATGCTGCGTGCGGTGCGGGCGTCGCGCAGGACGTTGGTCAGGGTGAAGCGCACGAGCGGCGCACGGGCGAAGCGGAAGTCGGCCCCGAGGATGTTGTCGATGACCAGGTCGTTGATCGGTGCGTTGTCCTTGTAGAGCGCCAGATCGAGCACAATCCTGTTCCCTGCATGCGCACAACCGCACCCATGGCGCTTCAGCCCCGCGTGTGCGTGTGCGGTGGTACGTGTGGTGTGTGTGTGTACCGTCATCCTCCTCCCAGGCGTTGATGTTGTGGAAGCAGAAGGCGGAGGGGGTCTCGTAGACGTGCAGCACCTCGCCCGTGCTTCTGCTCACCACGTAGAACCTGGGGAAGAGAAACAGATCAACGATTATTCTTCGATGCCACTACGTTTGGGGGGGGGAGGGGTCGTGTCGTACTTGGTGGTGTCCTCTCCGTGCCACTCCATGGCATCGACTACGGACTTGTGCCACAGCAGCTTCGGAGCATCGATCAACAGCGGCCACACCTAAAAGAAAAAAAGAAAGAAGAAAAGAAGAATAAGAACAAAGAACGAAGAACGAAGAGGTGGGAAGAGAGGGGGAGGCGATTGGGGTGTGTCGGACCTGGAGGATGAAGTAGTTTTCGGTGAGCGCGAAGGAGTGAAGGTAGGACGCCTTCTTCACGGGAATCTTGCACAGGATGCGCGCTTCGCCCTCGTCGGGCACCACGAACAGAGTGTAGACCGCCGTCGCTCCGATGTCGGCCACCAAGTTGAACTGTGTACGGCGTGTGCAGCACACACATGGGGGGGGGCGAGTGCGGTGAGTGCGCAATCAGTGGCTCATGCGAAGAAATCTGAAGGGTGGAACGTTGTATGGTACGTATTCACCGCGGGCGGCGTCGTACTGGCCGTGGGCGGCCGAGAGGGGACCCTTGATGTCGCGGTTGAACTTGGAGTAGCGCTCCTCCTTGCCGCTCGTCTTCAGGGTCTGCGGATCAAAGCTCACCAGCGAATTGGCGTCCGTGCAGTTGTAAAGTTTCCCTGTTCGAACACACAGCAACGCGTGCTTTGATGTGAGACCACACACGGCACACACGGCACACGACACGCGACACACATCACACATCACACGACACATCACACATCACACACGACGCACGACTACACACGCAACAAGACGATACACACGAAGCTGGGATGGACCTTGAATCCGTTTGATGGTCACGCCGGTGTTGCTCATATCCCTGCCCGTCTCCGGATCCTTGGTCTCGCTGCACAAGGCCACATCATTGAATGAGGCACAAGGGCCATGTGGAAGAAGAGGAGGAAGAGGAGAAGGTGGTGGTGGTGGGTGGTGGGTGGTGAACCTGTAGAAGAGGGACGAGAGCTTGCTAAAGAAGGTCTTGCAGGGGTCAGGACCGAACGTGAAATTTTTTCTGTGGGTGACGCAGGGGATGTGCATCATCAGAATTAGTAGCTTCTTGAAAATGGCTGGTTGACGATGCACACACATACCCGCCATGGCGAGCGACGTAGTTCTCCAGCTCGCGCGCGGCCTTCTGGTTGGCGTAGAACACGCGGCCCTCCTTGATCTCGAACCCGTGCATCACCTGGACGCAGCACATAACACAGAACACACAACACACACGAGTGTGTTGGTGGCCTGGAGGGTGTCTGCGGAGTCTGGGGCGGGCGGCGACGTACGGTGAGGCCGTCGAACCAGTGGGTGATGAGGTAGGTGAAGCCCAGCTCCGTGTCCACCTCGAGCGTGCCGGGACCCGAGCGGAACAGCTTGCCCGCGAGCCATTGCGGGATCTCGCCCTCTACTGCCAGCTCTATCGCCTCCAACGTCTGCCCACAAGTATTTATAAATAAAATAACCAATTTGTAAATTCAGCTATTTCTTCTCAAAAAGTAAAAACACGTTAATAAACATGAGTATAAATTCGTAAATAAATAATACTGGGGGGTTTACCTCGGGGCAGGACTTGAAGCCGAGGCCGAGGGCTGAGTCGAAGTTGACGCGCGCCCTGCGCTTCTCGAGCTGCCGCTGCTTGCGGTGAGCCGGCCCGTGTACGTAGGTCTCGTACACGTACCAGCCGCCTGCGAGTGCCACCAGCGTGGCCGCACTGGCGTAGGGGTGGGCACGCACCAGCGCCACCGCCTGCCCCATCGCCTTCAGCGCCGGCGTCGCTGCCTGCTCCAGTGCCTCCTTCATCTCGTCCACGGCCGTGTGGGGCATGGAACTGGGTTGGTGCGCCATAATTTGTTCTGGTCGTGAGTGCGAGTGTGTAAAGAGACCTTGTCGAAGTGGGCTTTCAAGTTGGTGAGGAGGTATCCCAAATAAAAGAGGCTATTGGCCCGTGTGTGTCCTTTGGAGGACCACTAGGGCGATTGTACCGAATTGGAAAAAACTTGCTATTGGTTCGGGGTAAAAAATAAATGCCCGGTCAGGCCACTTCGGAGGCCTCCTGGTGGTTGGTGTCGTTGGTGTCTTCTTCTGTGCCGAAGAAGTTGCCTGGTGAAGAGCCCAAATAACACCATTGGTCAAGGCCCTGAACAAGCTGAGAAGGAGGAGGCTGGGGTAGTGCGCACCGTGGAAGCCAAAGGGGATGTGGTGGGGCAACTGCGCCCGCGCCAGCTCGCTCAGGTCCTTGGCGTCCAGCACAAGCAGGAAGCTCTTGGCCGTCGCCCCGCTCAACACAATACTACGCGCACACCACTTATGATCAGGTGTGTGCGGTCGTGTGCGGTTGCGTGTGGTCGTGTGCTAACCTGAGGAGAACGCCGTCGTCCTCGTCGGTGGCACCGGGCGCGGCGATGAAGATGGGCTCGGCGGGGTAGAGGCCCTCAGCCATCCACACCAACTTCTCGCCCGTCCGCACGTTGAACTTGATGATGCGCTCGAGGAACGACGTGTCGGTCTCGGACATGGACATGCCGTAGACATAGGTGTAGGGCTTCATGTGCCAGTTGACGTTGATCCGCGGCAGCTCGACGGTGTTGGCGTAGACGACCTGCTTCTTGACCTTGCGCGGCTGCGTGGGTCGGAGGACGTTCTTCAGCGTGAATCGCACCAGCGCGCCGCGTTCGTATTTGGGCGATGCCGAGAGGATGCGGTCGATCAGCAGGTCGTTGATGAGGGAACTGTCATCGTACAGCGTCAGGTCCATCACGATCTTGTTGCCTGCAATCGTGTGGTGGGCAAAATGAGCAATCGTTGGTGTGGTGTGTGTGTGTGTGTTTGTGTGTTACCATCATCTTCTTCCCAAGCGTTGATGTTGTGGAAGCAGAAGGCTGCTGGAGTTTCATAGGCGTGAACCAGCTCGCCCGTGTTGCGGTCCACCACGTAAAACCTGGGTGGTCCCACTGGGTGAGCGAACCTATCGCCGACGCACTATGATAGATGGGAGGCGCCTAGTACCTGGCGTTGTCTTCTCCGTGCCAGCTCATGGCCTCGAGGACCGCCTTGTGCCAAAGAAGCTTGGGAGCACTGATGTACAGGGGCCACGCCTGCAAGCGAGCCATAACAACGCAACGCAATCACAGCGATGTTAGAGCCCAAGCGAGAGTGTGAGTCTATTAGGCCGAATGGTCGGTCTACCTGCAGCACGAAGTAGTTCTCCGTGAGAGCAAACGAGTGCATGTACGAAATGTTGGGCGCCTTGAAGGTGCACAGCACGCGTGCTTCGGCCTCATCGGGAATGGCAAAGATGGTGTACGTAGCTCCAACCCCGATGTCGCACACGTAGTTGATCTGGCGTGGTATGTGTGTGTGTGTGTGTGTGTGTGTGTGTGTGGCTGCGCATGAGCACAATCACAACAAAGCGCGCACGAAAAACCAAGAACGCACATACGTATTCCTTGCGTGTGGCGTCGTATTGGCCGTGCGCACTCGAGAAGGGTCCCTTCAGCCGCTTGTCGAATTGCTCGAAAGTTGCCCTCTTGCCCGAGGTTTTCAAGGTCTGTGGGTCGAACGGCATCAACATGTTGGCGTCCGTTTGGTTGTAGAGTTGGCCTGCGCGAAGCTACATAAGCCATGTGTTGTGTGTGTTGTGCGTTTGTGTGTGTGTGTGTCTTGTGTGTGTTTTGCGCGTGCGGTTCTCCGAGACGCACCCTGGATTCGCTTGATGGTAACGCCGATATTGATAGCATCGCCTCCCGTTTGCGGATCCGCGGGGAGGCTGTCAAGGGCGGGTAATGAACGATCACCAAGAAGAGGTGTGCGAGCAGAAGATGATCGTCACGTACTACATCGAGAAGATGGACGAGAGCTTGTCGAACGTCGACTTGCACGGATCGGGGCCAAACGTGATGAAGTCGCTGCATCCCGGAGGAAAAAATTGATAAGCCTACACGAAGCTCAAGCGCTGGCTTAGCTTCGTTAAGATGAGCACATACCCGCCATGGCGAGCGATGTAGTTCTCCAGCTCGCGCGCGGCCTTCTGGTTGGCGTAGAGCACGCGGCCCTCCTTGATCTCGAACCCGTGCATCATCTAGTTCATCAGATACGCCACGGCTCTCGCAATCAGCTACAACTGCTCTCATGGCTTGCCCATCTCGGGTGCGGAGCGGGCGGCGACGTACAGTGAGGCCGTCGAACCAGTGGTTGACGAGGTAGGTGAAGCCCAGCTCCGTGTCCACCTCGAGCGTGCCGGGACCCGACCTGAACAGCTTGCCCGCGAGCCATTGCGGGATCTCGCCCTCTACTGCCAGCTCTATCGCCTCCACCGTCTGCCCAAGTATTGAATATTAGAATAATAAGATTTGAATATTAGGAAATAGTCCCGAAATAATAAACAATTTGGAACAATTAAAAAAATAAAAGCAAAATAATATTAATGCTAATGAATAATGCATCTCTGACAGATTGGGTGGTGGGCACCTCGGGGCAATTCTTGAATCCCAAGGCGAAGGGGGAGTCAGCGTGGACGCGGGCTCGACGCTGCTCCTGCTCCCGCCGCTTGCGCCGGGCAGGACCGGCGAAGTACGCCTCGTAGACGGCCCACGCCCCGGCCAAGGCAACAAGCGTGGTCGCCCCAGCCACGTACGGGTGGGCTCGCACCAGCGCCACCACCCGCGCCCACAGCGCCTTCACGTCCAGCGCCCCCCGCGCCGCAGTCACCGCCACCAGCCCTTTCAGCTCTCTGCCGCGATGCTTCGCTTGATCATTCATCTAGTCGTGTTTTGGATCAAGCGAGTCGCTGGTGCCCCAACTTGTTGTTGAGCCACGCCAGCGAGCGTCACACCCAGCAGCTGCTGGTGGCGGAGACTTTAACATCTGTTATTTTCCCTTGTCTTTCCCCACTTCACCAAACCTTGTTGACTCTAGATCAAGGTGGGGGCGGCTACTGGAAGTAGGCCTCAGAGTTGTCTTGAGGGACATAGCCGAGGGTGGCGATGGTCTCCTCGAGGTCGTAGACCCTGGCGTCGTTGTTGCTGACGGCGTAGGCGATCATGAAGGGAATGCCACTAGCGGCAGGCTTCATCTCGACCTCAATCGCCTAGGCGCGATAGACTCTGGGGTTAGTGATGGTACACAGAGGCTGATGGCACACAGAGGCTGGCCTTGTGTGTACCTTCCTGAAGAAGTTACCGGCGTCGCGCTGCGACAGGTACATTGCCCGCATGTAAGCTTCGTTGATAGTGCCCTTCAAGTCGGAGGGATCATCTGTTACAATAAGTGAGCTAATAGCCTTTGATCACTGGTGAATGGCAACAGCGTACCGTTCAATCTGATCCATCCGATGCGGAACACGACCGTCTCGATGCGCTTGTGGAGCGAGAAGAGCTTGCACAGGTCTTCGCCGCAGGTCTTGGACACGGCGTAGAGCGAGTCAGGGAAGACAAAGTCCTAAAAAACATGAAAGTAGCACACGTCAATGGTGAGCTTTCACAAAAGGGCAATCAGAGAGTGAATTGGGTGCGCTTTCATACTCCAAGACGAACTGTTCCAGGCTTGATGCGGTCCACGTCCAGCGATTCTGATATGGTGGAAACAAGACTGATAAGATCATCAAGTCGCTGGCCCCATAGTGCGAGTCTTATGTACCTGGCTTGGCAGGATCGGCACACATGGACCCATTTTGCGTGTGGTTGGTCGAGGCGAAGATGAATCTGTCCTCCACTGCGTCGTGAGCAGAGGCCAAAATATGGGTGCTCTTGATTGGTTACGATACCGCTTCACGTTGGCGCGTACGCACTCCTCCAGGACATGGTAAGTCGCCTCCACGTTGTTCTTGAACACCACGTGCGGTCCTGTGCAAGGTTGCGTTAGCGCATGACCGCAACTCAAGAACTGAATTCCGACCAACGCCAAGAAAAGTTGATGAACGAAGAACGTTCTGACCACAAAGCAGAGAATCTTCACAACCCCAACATCGCCAACACAGGAGTGGGTATATAAGGCCCCAAGGCAGGCAAGGTGGATCATCATCCTTGCGCTTGGGGCAAACATGCACGCAGCTGTGACCGTTTTGAGGTATGCTCGTGCGCTTTGCTGATTGCCAACTGCCCATCCAGTTAGCAGAGCGTGGTGCCAGAGGCGCCCTCACCCGTACCTCGGCGCCCAATTTCTCTCACCGGCCTTTGGGCCACCCCAACTCAAATTCAACAATCAACTATCGGTACCCAACGCTCGCTCTCACCCTCATGTCCATGTTGCGGCGTTGGGACTTACCTTGCTCGGGGAAGGGCACGGCCAAAGAGTAGGCCGCGAGGTGGATCACGACGTCCAAGCCCTCGAACAGACCTGACCAGCGCCACAGTGAGACCAGCAGGGTAGATAGAAGTTATGGATGCGGTACCCTTGACTTGGTCGCGGTCGCTGAGGTCGACGACAGTGGTGTCGTAGGTCTCCTTTTCGGTCTGCAGCGTTTCAGCGTCGGTGCCTGTGGGAGGGGAGCACAGGTGGCCAGGTTAGTGTTTGCGTTGGGTGGGGCAGGATCAAAACTCCTCCGTACACTCGGGCTTCTCAAAAGAGAACAGCTTCAGTTGGTATTCATCCTTCAGTTGGCGAATGAGGATTGTCGCCAACCGCCCGGTGGCTCCTGTAATGCCCACCTTCTTCATCTGAGCGGCTGGTGCCTCCATTTTCCATGATTTTCCTTTTATTTTTATGTCTACAAATAATAGAAACACCAAAACAAATATGGCGAACAGGTCGCTGAAGCTGATTGGGGCAGGCTCCCTTGTGGTCACTGTGGTCAGACTGACAGTCGAAGGTCAACGAGAGAAGAACAAGCGAACAAGAAGACAAAGATGGAGAAGGACAAGGCAGCGAAGAAGAGCGCCAAGGAGGAGAAGGCCAAAGAAAAAGTGGACAAAAAGAAGGACAAGAAGGACAAGAAGAAGAGCGGCAAACACCCTTCGAAGGCGGACAAGAAGAAGGCCACGGACGCCACTGGCTGTACGGCACACTACCTAAATTTTATTCAATTCATTTTCTATTTTATTTATTTATTGATTTAACCCAAAATAATAATTCACAACCCAGCGTCGTCGGCAGAGAGGGTGAGGGAGCTGATCGTGCTGGATGGCCGGGTCACGAGCGACTGGGTCAAGCTCTTTGAAAACGACCGGTGCGTGCCGGCACCTCCCATCAACCCCCGATTCCCGCCTCGGCCCATCAATACGCCACACCACGGCCTCAACTCACCAACTCACTTGCAACGCAACACAACGCCACACCTCAAGGCTGAAGGACGGCAGCCGCATTCGAGTGGTGCAGGCGTCGTGGATGGAGACCTCAGTCGCCGTTTACTCCGACGCTGGTACCAGCCCACCACACACTGGCCATTCGTCGTGCAAACGGCGCGAACGAACGAACGAACGAACGAACGTCGGAGGAGACTTACAGCGCACGCATGTTCCTCCCTGCGCGCAGGTTGCATGATGAGCATCGCTCCGATCAGGGAGAGCGAGGGCAAGGTCACGCGTCCCAACTGGCTCGGAGTCAAACCTGGTACCTCTCCTCCGTCTTCTCGAGAACGTGTCGAAGTAGCGCGCGCACGCAGCACCTGAGACAGGAGGGAGCACGAGCTAACGCGTCAGCTTTCTGTGTGGCTCTGTTGTCTGTTGGGGGAGTCAAGACTTCCTGCTGATCAGGAACCAGGTGCGCGGACCGACCCCGGCGTCGGACAACCGCAACACGCTCTACGGACTCATGATGGCCGGCGTGCCCGCCATCAACACTCTCCAATCCGAATACATGTACGTGCGTGGAGCGGCCACTCGATCGAGCCGAACGTGAGCGCGTGCATGCGCCCACGTGTCTCACTAGCGACACACTGCGCGGCACACGCTGGAATGACAGGAACCTGGAGAGGCCGATCATGTACGGCGTATTGCGGGAGATCCAGAAGAGGGTCGGCGCGGACAAGTTCCCGCTCATTCCGATCAACTTCTACTCCTCCCACACGTACGCACTCTTTCGTTCACGTGACCGTGCACGATATTAAGAAAACAAACGCGTATGTTACGCGTGTGCAGGCAAATGGCCATCACGCCCGACATGCCGGCGGTGATGAAGGTGTCGCACGCGCACGCCGGAATGGGGAAGATCAAGCTTGACGAGACCGCCGCCTTCCGCGACATGGCCACCGTGCTGGCCCTCAACAACAACTACTGCACCTCCGAGGTACACCACGATATGTGAAGACCACCAAGCTCACAATCACTAAGACTGGCCACGCACACGCACACGCACACGCACACGCACACGCACAGCCGTTCATCGATGCCGAGTACGGCCTCAGGGTACAAAAGATCGGCAATCACTACCGCGTGTACAAGAAGGTGTACACGGGCAGCGGCTGGAAGTCCCAGTTCGGCGGGTCCGACCTGCAGCTCATCGAAATCAACGACGTACGACCCGCTCCCACAGAGAGTGGGAGAGAAGGCGAGGCTTCTCACCCTTGTCCATTCCTTGCCGACCTTACAGAGGTACAAGCTGTGGGTGGACGAGTGCGCCAAGGCTTTCGGCGGAATGGACCTGTTGGCCGTCGATGCCCTGAAAGGTACGCTCCATGCACCCACGTTTTGGTCGCTCGAGTTGCACACACTGCTGACACGCTCCACGCCACGCGCAGCCAAGGACGGCCAGGAGTACATCATCGAGCTCAATGGAACAGCCATCGGTACGAAGACGAACGAAGAAGACACCTTCTTTCGTGCCGTGTCTACTCTCGTTGACGTCTCCTCCCTCTTTCCTCCTTTCTCTCTTTGCCTGCATCCAGGACTCACCCCCGGCTACGAGGCGGAGGACACCGAACATATTCATCAGCTGACCCTCGAGCGCATGAACTCCCTCTTCTGCGCCGATGAGTGATGGCCCACGGGCGCGCGTTTGTACGTTCTTTAGGTTCCACGCCATGGAACGAACGCTTTTAAAGCATTGAGCCGCACCTTTTATGAGTGTTCTCGTTGTGTGCGTTGTCTCCCATCATCAGACGTTCACGTTCGAGGTGGTGGCGAGGGTGTGGTGGTTCTAAGCCAAAATGGGACTGCATCGCCGCTCAGTGCAGCCCAATTCATGTTCCCTGTGGCAGGCCTGAATGGAGGAGCGCGCGTCGAGATGTGGCTGGATGCTGTTGGTGCGGTCACTGTTGGGGTGGGGGTCCGCCAGCGCCACTGACGGCTGCGAGCAAGGCCTTCTCGAGGGCCATGAACTCGGCCTCAGCCTTGACCGCGTCGTCGCTGCTCTGCTCGTCATCCAGCGGCTTCTCAAAACCACTGTACTGGGGGTCTTCGTCGTCGTCGTCTTCGTCGTCGTCGTTGTCCTGTTCCTCGCCGGCGTAGTAGGGCACCGGCCCACCGCCAAAGTGGGGTACGCCGTAGGGCATGCCGTGTGCGTCGCTGAGAGGAGAGAGAATGTCAGCGATGACTACGATGAGGGCTCAACCATCACGATCAAGGGGTAGCAGTAGGACGAACCCCAGATCCTGGTACTTGAGAGACTGTTTGATGATGTGGTCGAGGTGGTCCACCCTGAGACCCGGCATGCTGAACCAGTTCCGCCCTGCACCCAACCAGACGAAGAAGGTGAGTGAGTTGGGCGAGTTGGCCTCTCTGTGGGCGGTCGGCAGGACTTACCGATGGTGGGCACGGGCACGTTGCACAGCTCGCGCGCGTCCTGCTCGCCGTCTTCGTACTTGCGGAGGAACGGCATAGCCGACTTCTCGTCGATGATGCTCTGCACGGCCGTGATTGCGGCTGTGGAGAGATGATGACAATGATGAGAAACTGAGGCCTGAGTGTGGCGATAAGACTAGCAGTGTTTCGTACCTGGGATCTTTTCCAGGGCGGCCTTGGCCTTGGTCACCTTGGCGTCAAGCGAGTGCTGCCTCTGGGTGTGAACGCTGGTGATGGCATGGTCGATCTCCTTCTCCTTCTCGTCGAGCAGCTTGCGCAGCTTGTCAATCTCCTCCTTGGCCTTCTTCCGCTTTCTTTCGGCGTCAACGGCGAGGTTGTGCTCCTTTTCCTTCACCTCCTTCACGAACGCTTCCAACTTGCCCCATTTCCCCTCCTGCACGGCGCATAATAACAATTCGGTTAGTATAATGTTGTATATAGTGCGCGTGCGTGCGTGCGTGTGTTTGTGTTTGTTTGTGTGCGTTTGTGCGTGGTGTGTCTGTGTCTGTGTCGCGTGCATGGGAAGCGGCGAATCAAGGGAACGTACCAATTCTTTGAGGCTGTTCTTGACCTGGGGCAGCAGTTTGTGCTGGGCCGTCTCGAGGGCTTCGTAGGCGTGATTGGCGTGGGAGGTGCCGGCGCACAGTAGGCAGATGAGCTGATTGTCGTCCATGCAGTAGAGGGACATCTCCTCCTTGTGCTCGGCACACCAGCCTGCCACCAATAACAACGGGGTCAGGCATATACGGATGTACAGACGACACGAGTGGCTTCGATGGTACCATCGCTGACACCCTCCCTCTTCCTCTTGCGGTGCCGTTTGAGCGACTTCAGACCTTGTAGCCCATCGAGGTGCGAGATGGCGCTGCACAGCACGCAAGTAAGGGCCTGGCACACGGAGGGGGGAAAAATGGTTACCCCACAATGCAGTGGTAAGAATGGCAGGCAGCTCCCTGCTAGATGGAGACAAACCTGTTTGTCGCCCGAGCTGTATCGATTGCGGAAGCCTCCGCGTCCAAAGCCGTATCTGTTGTAATCATTTCTGTCGCTGGGCATTTTCGCTCTGCGAACCGAGGTAGGGCGCTTTCATGTCAGCTTCAATCGCCGCGTGAAGTGAGTGCAAAGAGATGTGTGACGCGTGTACCTCTTCTCGGCACACGAATAGCAGTAGATGTGGGGCTGCTCACACGACGGGAGAACGATGTAGGACATGGGCGACTGCTTGCAAATGAGGCACACGATGGCCGGGTCGTAGTCCGGGTCCTGTGCGCCATCCGTGCCCTGCGACGGGTGGGCGTGGTGGCCGCCGCCAGCTCCCTGGGCCATGAGCTCCGCCATGGTCGGTGGCTTGATCGGAACGTACGGGGTCGCTGCGGCCGTATAGCTCGGGGCAGGTGGGCCTGTGGTGGAAAGTGCAGCAACCGCTCAGTACCCCGTCAGTACGTCGCCAAGGTCACTGTGCGCCTGCAGAATCGAAATGCTCGCACCTCCGGGAGTATGATGGTGCGTCTCGTTTTGCAACTGCTGCGCCAACTCAGCGTCGCCATCGAGTTGGGCCTGCAGCTGCAGCGCCAGCAGGTAGTCGGGGTCGACCTCCCCGGCGGACGAGTGCGGAAGCCAAGCCGAAAGGTCAGCAGCCTGCGCTGACTGAGTCGGGACCGGGGCGGAACCGACTGGTGCAGCGGCAGCGCTGACCTCGATGTCCATCGCCGCGGCCTGACCACAAGAAACAAATCGGTCAGTACGGACGCTGCTGTAGGCCAAACAACAAATTGCGTCGTTGACGGTTACCTCAATGGTCGGAGCCGCTAGTGCTGGGATGGGTTGATCGGGCTGGGAGGGAGTGGTTGAGGTGGTGGTCGTGGTCGTAGCCACGGTCACCATATTGTCCTCCTCCTCTTCATCGCTCTCTGAGTCGGAGCTGTCTGACTCTTCCGCGGCCTTCTGTGCGTCGAGCTCTTTTTGCTTCTGGGCTTCCTCTCTCCGCTTCTCCACCGTGGCTTTCAACTGCTCGAGTGGCTTTACGAAGCTGCTGTACTTGAACATGCCCCTACTCTCGCCAAACGGATCCTGCACCAACAACACCTCATTAGCCTGGTCGTCTACTATACGTGTACGTCATTCAAGAGTCTGGCACCCTCATCTGCCTGCCGTCCTTCTCTCTGCGCTTTTCGATCCAGCTAATGTACTTGTCGTAGTTCTGCAAGAAGCTCTCCTCCATAACGTTCTTGAAATCTGGAGGTAGAGTGTTGCATGTCAGCTGGTGCTTGCCTGGAGTCATGCACACGCGTTTTGCCTAGAGAGTTTGCCTAGAGAGTGTACCGGGAGTGGTGGGGTTCTCCATCATGCCGATGATGGCTACCCGCAAGGTCTCATGCTCAATACAGTCGTTGTAGTCCGTCACATCACGCGAGTTTCTCTCGACCTGGACACAGCACAGACAAGTGAGCAGTCGAGCTGGGGCGGTACCGAGGCGAATAAAGGGGCATACCTCATGGCCAGGTTCATTGTGGTAGGGCTTTTCGTTCATGAGCGACTGGATTGACATGAGGGTCGACAGGATGGTCTGGATCTCGGTCCAGCTGGGGCCGCTCCATGTGCCCAAGATTGACAGGCACACCTTACCATCTGTGTACAGGTTGAGGATTAGCTCAGCTCAAAAATGATCAACAAGTACCAGCTACACCAGCCATTTAGGTACGTACTTGCATACAAGTTGGGATTAAAGCGGACCGTATCACCGTCGGTCGTCTCCAGCTTCACCTTGGGCGGACGCCAGGGGTAGTCGTGCGGGAAGTGCATCTCTGGTGAGGCCACGTAGATAGATGTAAGCTAAAAGGTGAATAAAATGAAAATTGCGTGCGGGGAGGGTACCA